CAGATTTTGATCAGATGCCTCAGTGTAGTGGTTAAGAGCGGTGGACTCGTAATCTGGGGAACCAGGTTCGCGTCTCCACTCCTCCACATGCAGCTGCTGGGTGACCTTGGGCTAGTCACACTTCTCTGAAGTCTCTCAGCCCCACTCATCTCACAGAGTGTTTGTTGTGGAGGAGGAAGGGAAAGGAGAATGTTAGCCGCTTTGAGACTCCTTAAAGGGAGTGAAAGGCGGGATATCAAATCCAAACTCTTCTTCTTCTTCCACGGGGCATACCAGGAGAGGCGGTCCCGTAGGTACGTGGATCCTAGGCCGCATAAGAGTTTAAGAATTGTGAGGAGGAGGGAATGGGACCATGCCAAGGATCCAACCTGTGTGCAAGGACCCAAGTGTGGATGTCAGAATGAGGCTGCCCCAGGCTTAGTTTTTATGTACTGAGCATTTATGCAGACCCTTTTGTGTGTTCAAAGATCTTTTCACAATCCTTACTATAGCCCTGTGAGGTAGGCAAAAATAGTTAACTCCGTATCAGGCTGAGAAAATAGCAGCCTGCCTAGAGCAAAATGTGAACTAAGATATTCACATTTCGGCAGCACACATTCTTTGCCTCGATGTTGTGGCACCTTCAGCTCCTGGATCAATTAGTTCTCCTACCTGCTTGATTAGACTGCAAGTCACCCCACCGTGATTTACCAAGTACAATTTCCACATTCTTAAAATAGGCTGGTTTTGTTAGTGCTGGCTGGTGCTCTTGTTTACGGATGGGATTCAGTACAAAAAAGGGCCTTCAGAAACGTTCCAAATAAAACCAACACGAGAGACGCTGCGTGCTCTACCCAGCTTCCCACAATTATCATTTTGTTATGTGCTTGGTTAAAAGGGAACCCCGATGCCTCATTATTTCTAAAGTCACAGATCATCAATCCCACCAAAATTACAGAGAAAACGATGCGGCACAAAACAGCAGTTTTAAGAACCATTCCCTTTATTTCCAATCTCCAGGGGAGAGAGCTGTCACTTTTGCAAACCATCCAACATTTCTCCGATGGAAATAGGGACATTCTTGTGGAGCTAAAACGGCACCACCCACACAAAGTTGGAATATCAGCAGTCTTGGGGAAACCCCAAGACGTCTTTAAAAGGGGTGGGGGGTCACAAACACAGCCCAGTAAGGAATAAGCATGCTTAGTGGACACTGGATGCTTGCTGACTGGAATGGAAAACCAGAAGTGGGAAGCAGGGTTAGATGGACCTTTGGTTTGATCTGGAAAGGTTCCACTTTGGTTCCTACGCTCTCTCTTCCCAGATGGTAGGTAGTTATAGGAGTGGCTACTGCAACAGAACTCTCAGTCTCCATCTCTCTCTCTCTCTCTCTCTCTCTCTCTCTCTCTCTCTCACACACACACACACACACACACAAATCTCTGACCATTAGTCATTCCTGGCATATAGAATGCAAAGCACATAGTAGATGGATTCTGTTCTCCATAGGAAACAGCTTCAAGGTTGTTGTCATTAGCATTCATAAGAGAGGAAAGGGTAGGAAGCCAGCGGTGTGCTTTTTTATGTAAGCAAATGCTCAAATTGCAGTGAAGCTGTGGCATCACAGAAGCCAAAGATGTTGCCGTGAGTGTAACTCAGCAGTGAAGGTCCCCACTGGGGTTTAATGAGCATGGACACATTTCTGATTTCTTTAGACAAGCTGTCTAATGAGTTACCTATTGAGACTAGAACAGAACAAGAATCGAAAAGGGGTTATGCTTTCGGAATAAAACTCTTCAGCCTGAAAAGACCGGCTTTTGCAGCAACCTGATACAAACCCACCCCACTTCAAAAATATTCTTTCACGCTCGCTTTCCCCTCGTGGTAGGAACTGAGAAATGCAACACTGGTAGGGGTGGATTAAATCTCTCGATTTCAGTTTCTCACTTTCCCCAGTCTTAAGATCACTTTGTGATTAAAAAAGAAAAATCCATACACATTTTGTCTAATAGTCATATTTTTACAAGCCATTTCCCCTAATATAGTACAAAATAGTAGGTGTGGTGGGGAATTTACCTGTAGTTTGTTAAAGGTACCGAGAGTTGTTAGGAGACCCCTATCCCCTTCACAAAACTACAATTCCCAGAGTGGTTTAACAATCAATCCCTCTTCTTGGAGAACTCTGTGAATTGTCAGCCAAAGTTCCCAGTGTTGTATTTATGCAATAATTGGAATGTGGTACAATGCCCCATTGAATTGAATGGCATTTACTCCCATGTAAATGTACAGAGGACTGCAGCCTTATTTGACCTTTTTAGGACTGACTGTAAGGAAATGAAGATCATTTGGGGCTACCACTGATACAAAAATAAAAGAACAATCTTTTCAAAGGATATCACACCCCCGCCCACCACAATGAGATGAGAAAAGCTGGATCTTTTGTCTATAAAAGGGCAATGCATCTGCTCAACAAATAAACAAAATTATCCAGCCAAAGTTAAGCACTTTGACGCCCTGCTGATTCCTTTGTAAGAGAACTAAATTCATGCCTAACTTTTGCTTCTTGAAATCCATAGGATTTGAAAACACCTAAGACAGCAGTTCTAACCCCACTTACCTGGCTGGGAGTAAACCCTACTGAATTCAAATGGACTTACTTCGGAATAGATCTGGTGAGGATTGTGCTGTAACTCTGCCCTGTGTTTTATCACTTTTCTATTATGCTTTTTTTTTGCCAGCCATCACTGCTTTTATAGGCTATGGTCCGTCCAAAATTAAGCATGTGTTTTTAAGTCACAAGGGGTTAGTCAACAGCTTACTGCTCCCTTCCTTTGAAATTCCTGGCATTTAAAATTGCCTCACTTTAGCAGGATTGAGCCCAACATTTTCTTGAAGGAGGAAAAAACTGGTAGGAGACACACATACAAACAATATAACTTGCCTATTATGTGCAAACTGATGCCAGTTCATTCCTTAGTTGTTCTTTCTGCTGCAAATGCTAAAAAAACAAACAAACAAACCCTTCTGCTGCTTTGCAGATTAAGACTGACAACAACCCCCCTCAAGCTCTGCATGATATCCAGCTCTTGTTCAAATTCAATGGGTCATTTGCATTTATTTGCACGTGAGCCGCACTCTCACAATTCAATTTATTTTACGTGCAATGTTTTGTTTTCGATTATTTACAGAGGTACTGAACAAGGTAACTGACATCCAACATATTCCAAGGAGAGCACTTTGCATTTATATAAAAGTAACTCTCTTCTTCTTCTTCTTCTTCTTCTTCTTCTTCTTCTCCTCCTCCTCCTCCTCCTCCTCCTCCTCCCCCTCCCCCCAACTCTCTGCTGCCCGACCTCCTGTCCTAGACTATATGCAATAAGAAGAGAATCTGGAAAGTATTTGGGGATTCTCTCAATGCCAAACTTTTCCCCATCTCTGGCGAATCTTTAATTCTGAGACTTGGCAGGACAATTCTCCCCTTGAAGCCTGTGTGTGTGGCATGTACCCAATTCTTCCCTCCCCCTGCCATGCATGTTCCCGTTCTCATATTGATTTGATGATCAGAGGCTTCCTTTTAAAGCAGCCTGCACTGAACATTAAGTTTTTGATCTATTAGGCAGCGGTTGAGAATCTGCCTTTGGGAGAGGCTTTAACGTTCCAGTTACATAGCCTGCCCCACCATGCACCAGAAGGATTGGGTGTTTGCAGGTAATAATCCACAGACCAGGTACAGAAGTTTCAAACATTTCCCTTGGCAAGACACCAAGTTGAGAATTGCCTGTAACGTAATAATGCAGTTCATTGAAAGGTGTGTTTATATGTTTGTGTGTAACAGGAAGAATAATTCATATTTGTGATTTGCTGTTGACTCAAGTGCATTTCCCAACAAGCTGTGACAGCTGATAAGAAATCCTCAACCCTTTCATTATTCTGCAAATATCGCTTTGCTTGAGCAGGATTCATATCCTCTTGATACCTTCCCACGCAGCACATTGATTGCGGTTTCGTTTCACCACTGGCCTGTTAAATTCAACAAGAAGGGTAGTCAAACTTGCTTCCACTTAAAAAATCTCAGAGGGAGAGCTGGCAACGTGGGAGGTAATATTGATCAAGCAAACTGCCATCGATCTCTTGCCCGCTATTATTCTGAAATGGGGAAACAAGGTTTGAAATATGGTGCACGGGGCATTCTTTTGAGTTTTAATTTCAAGTAAATCCCACAGGCCTGGAGGGAGGCTGCTATAATCCCACGGCGGCCAGTAGCATTTAGAAAGCCTATCAGTGTGCAGAACGGAAACGCTGACTGGTTTCGACCCCCATATATTCAGTGATAAGGAAATTTTAGACTCTGGACCTAATGATGTCACAGCTGTGGGGGGAGTACTCTGGAGGGTAAAGTGTGTTACTTTAGCTATTTTTTTTATAAAGTGGTAAGCTAGCCCTGTTGCGCTTCGGGGAGGGACACCCTGCTCATTCTGTTGAGGGGGGCTCTGGATTTCATCCCAAAAGTCCTGCCCTGATGGAACTGCTGCCTGCAGTTACCCGACAATGCCTGCGCCTGCCCTTTTATTCTCTTCAGCCAGAGTCCTGTAACCAATCACAAAGTTCCCCCTGAAAATCCTGTGGCCCATTGGACTATTTCTAAGGACCAATGAGTTCAAACGGAATGCTCACTAAAGGACCTATCACAGCTTTAGGATTACACCAATGCTTATAAAAGCCACATTCTGTTGTCAACTGCCATAACGGAAAACCTAACAGCTCACGGTTTAGCAACTGCTTCGGCCTAGCTGCTTCTTTGCAAACTGCCAACTCAAAAACCCTCATACATTGTGCCTTCCTGAATCAGTTTGGGCTCATCTACACTTCTGTTTGCCCCGCTGCTTTCGGCCGGGAAAACCTGCATTTAAGCACTGAATCAAAACAAATAGCAAGCGCGTTTTCTGCAGATTGCTATTTTTCCCGATTCAGCAGTAAATTGTGTGTTTTCCAGGAGAAAGCTGCCAGTCAAACACAAAACTGTTCGGAACCATGCCTAGACAAGGGGGAAACCTCTCAGACTCATGCTTTCTAGGAAGTGTGGACAATTCCTAGGCCTTTTCTCCCTTATTAATTATTTGCACACCAAACAGTTTATGCAACAGAACAGTGTTTTTACATCTAAATCTTCCCTCATATTTTTCCTCACAAGAACATGTGCCCACCCTACTCCTAGAATTTATACCAGGCTTGGCCAGTTTAAGGGTTTCCTATTGTCTGCTAGGGATTGCTGGAGGAGAGGGCTATCAATGGCCACTAGCCATGAGGGTTGTTCTTTGCCTCCACAGTTCCAGGCATCTTCTGAATGGAAACCACAGGTGGGGAGAGTGCTCTTGCACTCAAATTCTGCTTGTGGGCTTCCCACAGGCATCTGTTTGACTACTGTGAGAAAAGGATCAGCCATAGGCCTGATCCAACAGGTTCTTATTGTGTTCTTAAGAATCTGTCACCTTCCTTTGCAATGAATGAGGAAATTTTGCTCATACAGGGTTTCTGTGCACACAACATCCTGTTGTAAGAATGGTAGCCAGCGTAGTACAGCACTTAAAAGCATCACACTTTGTTGTTTAGTCGTTTAGTTGTGTCCGACTCTTCATGACCCCATGGACCAGAGTACGCCAGGCACTCCTGTCTTCCACTGCCTCCCGCAGTTTGGTCAAACTCATGCTGGTAGCTTCAAGAACACTATCCAACCATCTCGTCCTCTGTCGTCCCCTTCTCCTTGTGCCCTCCATCTTTCCCAACATCAGGGTCTTTTCCAAGGAGTCTTCTCTTCTCATAAGGTGGCCAAAGTATTGGAGTCTCAGCTTCAGGATCTGTCCTTCCAGTGAGCACTCAGGGCTGATTTCCTTCAGAATGGATAGGTTTGATCTTCCTGCAGTCCATGGGACTCTCAAGAGTCTCCTCCAGCACCATAACTCAAAAGCATCAATTCTTCGGCGATCAGCCTTCTTTATGGTCCAGCTCTCACTTCCATACATCACTACTGAGAAAACCATAGCTTTAACTATACGGACCTTTGTTGGCAAGGTGTTGTCTCTGCTTTTTAAGATGCTAAAAAGCATCACACTAGTGCTGAAGAAATCCAGGATCAAATTCCCACACAGCCATGTCCCTCACTTGGTGACCTTGGAACATTTTGCTGCCTGACCCAGCTCACGGGGTTTTTGTGAGGATAAAAGAGGCAGGTTCACGTATTCTGTCTTGAGCCCCTCAGAGAAAAGGTGGGATATAAATGTAATAAGTTCTGAATCTGGCTTATGAGTCTTTGAACTGCAAAGGACAAAGCCTGTAGCAGTGTTTCTTCAAACAAGCAGCACAGCTACACAGGGCCTAAGAAGGGAGGGGTGTGTGTGTGTGGGTGTGGGTGTGTGTGTGTGTGTGTGTGTGTGTGTGTGTGTTTGCAATGATTGCACTGTTTGGCAGGATTTTGTGACAATAGGCATACATATGGTAACAGTTTGCGGTTCTCCTAGAGTGCAGACACTTTGAGAGCAAACCGTCTGATATTAACAGTTTGTTATTTCAGAAAGGTGCCAGCTCAAAATTTTTGGCAGCCTGGGGCACCAGGCTTATACTCCGTATAATATAGTAAGATATTCAGCTTGGCTGGCTTCCCCTCCCCTTCCTTCCCTCAAAAAAAAAATAATAAAAATCAACAAGTTTTGCAAACCAGCAGATGAAAAATACAGATGATTTTTTTTCACAGACCAACAAGGAATTGCAAGAGAATTTTTCCTCCTTACCCCCCCCCCCAAAAAAGGAGGAAAGTGAAGAAAACAGCCACCAAATATTCACAAAACAATTATTGGAATTGATAGCTTGACCATAAGGATATGTTGTTCATCAAATCATAGTGACAACTTAAAGTATTTTGCTACAGACAAACACTAGCAGTAGAAGATCCAGAGAGATCCACAATATCTAATATATTGTGCTCAGTTGTTGGGATTGTTTCTATTTTGTCTTGAAATGGCAGGCTCTGTCTCACATTTTTACTTCTTCCAGTTCTGGTGTTGTCAGAATTCATTTCAGAAATATTTCAGAACACAGGGAGCTGGTGGAAAGAGACATCTCTCCTGACATATGCCATTTTTCCTTCCCCAATGTTTCTCCTGAATGGAAGCCCTCAACCCTCATCCCCAGCTGACACCAATGTAGCTGCATTTTATAATACCCACCCCCTTATTTCTCTTGCCTTCCTTTTTCCAGTCAAAATTTGGACTGTAAGCACCTCAGGGCAAAGACCCCAATCCTTTGCTTATGGAATTCTGTGAGAAGCAGGGAAACTGTGGTCCATTGTCCACACTGGCTGGGGTTGATGGAAGCTGGAGTCATTTGGTGGGCCACAAATTCCCCATCCCTGCAATATACACTGAGGTGCTAAATGAAAACAAGAACGTTGTTTCTCCATCACAATCACACCCTGTGCAACACAGTTCCTGATTTATTACATTTATGGGCAGAGAAACAGAACAGAGCCATCCATCATCACACAGAGCAGCACAGCAGGCAAGGCCCCTCTGCGAGTAGGTGCTTTAGGCTCACAGGAACATTTAATGATTTCTTATGGTCTACTAATAGTTAGGCTGCGGCCTACTATTGCGAACTGGCACACAGTTTGACAAATTGCTGACATAAGCACATTGGGAGAGACATTTCTGTCACACTGCCTCCCTGGAGCAGCTCTTCTCGCCAAGAAAGTGCCGTTTCCAATATCAAGATGTAGATGTATTTTGAAAGCTATTTCATTTACTATTGGATAAGCAGCAGCAACCCACAGCTGGCTGGGTTACATTTCCTCAAATCTGTTTAGCTTTCGTGCGGTTAGGGAAAGGTTCTTCTAATAAGCAAGTTCAGAACATCCAGAACTGCATCTTGAGGAAATAAACAAGATTTCCGTGATCTTCAGGGAGACTCTTTGGGGAAGAGTGTAGATAGATTTGTCACCTGTCAAAGACTTTCGAGACAAAAGCGGCAAAGATAACTTTCCTTGTGGAGGCAGTTTCATGACACTCACCTATTGAATTTCTGCCTGCATTGCCTAGCTTGCAAAGGTCAAAAACAGGGACAGTGTGGGCGGCTACCAAGGCCTCATTCTGATGGTTGGACTACCAAACCATGACCAGCTGCCATGGAAGGGTACTGCCTCCAGGGGAGACCTGAGCCATCTAAGGTGTAAGGGTTCCACTCCTTTGCCCCACAGCAGCCCCTCTTCTCCATCTCTCCCCACTGGCCCCAAATCCTGGTGCAAAGTGAGCAAGTGAAAGGCTGCTGCAAGGAGAGCTGACCATTGGTCTTAGTGAGACAGTCACCTCAGGGAGAAGATGTAGCCCCTACAGTTGCTCTCCCTGAGGCCCAACAGACAAGCTTCCCTCTGTTGGCTAACAGAACTATGTGTGCCTGGGGATGAGTAAATCTGTCAGTTTGGGTGTCACATTTTTCCATTCTTAAGTTCTGCTCTCCACCGTTCCACATGTTTTTAATGGCAAGCGAAGTCCTCGGGGAAATTTGTCAGCACTTTAATGCTAGTTTCTCCTAATATATACATTTGTGTAATGAAGAGGTTCCCAGTATCAAGGAAGAGGTTTTCCTCTAGGTTTGGCCCCAGCTGGCCACCATTTTGAATCAAGATGGCAGACTACCTTTCAAAACTGATGTTCTTGTTTTTTAGAATTCCAAGCAGCACCAGGTATCAGGCTACCAATCATACATAAGCCAGGCCATTGGACTCACCTGGTATCAGGCACTCTTTCAAGAAAGCTTAGTTACCATTCGTAATATTGACTATATTTGACTATTGGACTACAACTAAGGCAACCCAGGCATTAAGTTCACTTGGGTGGCCTTGGGCCAGCCACTCACTCTCGTCCTGGTCTATCTCACAAGACTGTTGGAGGCGACAGGAGAAGAACCAAGGAACTCCTTGTAAGAAAGGTATAAATCATATATCAGTATAAATATCAGTATATCATATTATATTAATTAAAATATAATATATATAATAATATAATATAATATAATATAATATAATATAATATAATATAATATAATATAATATAAATCAGTATAAATAAAACTTCTCTGTTAGAAACACTGACCACCTTCTGAAGATCCCGAAGCTTCTCCAAAACAGCCTGGGAACTTACTACAGAAAACATTGTGACCAGCTATAGTATTATGTGAGAACAGTTTTCTCAGCTCATTATAATTTGTCTGACAGTGTGACTCACATTTCCCCCATCTTCTCTATGCCTTTTGTCTGTCATAACCATCCTGAGGGCGGATGCGTCTGAGGCCAGATGTCTTTTTAGCATGCTGTTTCTAATTGTGAATAATTTTCTTGCATGAGATGCATGCTACTCTCAAGAGATGGCTCTGTGGATAAGGTGGGGAGAGTACAGGAAAAGTAAGCACTGGGGGACATAGACCTGTCATTGAACTTCACGTCCTGATAGATCATTATACTGGATCTGCAGGCAGCAAAAACCCTTTAAACAAATGACACACATATCCTGTATCTCCAGCCTTCTGAAATTTTGCAGGTTACCTTGCTAGGGGCACTTCTATGATATATGGCTGTATGCCATTTGTAGAATAGTCACCCAAAAAAACCACCGTGAAGGAATAAAATCCCATTTTCATCCCCTCCTGCAAAAAGGTCAATGTAAAAGTCACTTAGCACAAAGGCCCCAAGGCATATTTGCTGCAATTTGACAGGTCTCTTATACATGCAATATTCATTCACATTGCATATAAAACAGATTAAGTAAATCCTTTTCAACACACACACACACACACACAACTGTAAAGGATTTCCTTGCAGGAAAAAACCCTCTGAAGCTTATGTCCAGAAATTCTCATTCTCTCAGAAGGGGCTATACCTTGCCTGAAAATTTCATCCTTTGAGGGAAAGGGTGGGGGGACATCAAATTTGAATAGTGCCCAGCGTGTACACACAAATGGGCCTATTTAATGTAACTCACATCCAGAGAAATAATATCCTGCAAATATGAATCCGATTAGTGCATGAAGGTGTTACACCAGAGAGTAAACTGCCCTGCCAGGCTTAGTCTGGGTCATCACTTCCCACCTTGACAGGAAACGGGTCACCAAAAGCCTTTGTTATCGCTCTTCCAAGATTCCAGACATGAGGGACATGAAGCTTGATTTCCCCAAAACAGGATTCAGAATTGGAATCTGAAGCATTTCATATGCTCTCCAATTCGGTTCAGAATGGATCTCTGTCTTCTTCATAGGGAGGGTCCTAATGAAATCTTGTCATTGATGTACACCTCAGTTTGAAAAGGCCTCACCAACTTGAAGGTCTTGCCTCATAAGCAGGCTAGGTAAAGACTACTGAGGCCAAGATGCAGCAACTAGAGCTCATGTTAGATGGTCAGATTAAGACTTTCCATTACCCAAACTCAGTACATCTACCATGACTGGCCTTCACTCAAGTTCCTTCTGCAATTCTCACCTTGTTTCTTTATGGTTAAGAACCTTGCACAGCTATAGGGGTGACACTTTTTGGTTGGGTTTTTTAATTTTCCCTCCAACTTTATAATTAGGTCATTAGTCATTTTAAGAAGGCCCACCCCCATGGTAAAGTTAGTGTGCTTTGTTTTGCGGCAGGCATTCTGTTCGATGAGACCAAAGGTTGGTCTCCAGCATTTTGTCCTCAGCAGTCAGCTCCCTCTGGAAAGCCCCCAAGCAAGATGGAGCACAACAGCACCCCAACAGCTGGTATTCAGAAAGACTGCTTCTGACGCTGGAGTGGTCAAAACCCTGCTGGGTCAGTCCAAAGGCCAATCAACTGGCAGGTACATTACCAAAGCCAAAGATTGAACCTAGGACCTTGCCAGGGGAAACATGGAACCTTTTGCATGCAGAGTGAGTTCCACACTACAGCCTTTTTTCCTCATCACTTTATGCTGCAACTCTGCTTCCCAGCATGGTGAACCCATCATCTAGGCAACCTTTTAACACCATAAATTATGCTAGTTTGTTCTGGGAAAGGCTTTCCCCTGGTATCATGGAGTGCTTCCACCATCAGCTGAAGCATTCTTAGGCCGAGTTACTGCTTAAGACTTCACACAGACAAGTAACTGAGTGCAACAATTTATTCCAATCATATTTCAAAGCCAGGTTGCAGAGATTATCAGCTGCATACATTCATTCACAGCCAATGAATAAATACAAGTCAGGTTTTTTGTTTTTGTTTTACTTGTAGAGTCTGAAGCCCCTGGGAGTTAGCAACTGATTTTTCCAATAATGGTCAAGTCTCCCATTCTACCAAAAGTTCCAGGGCCATAGTTCTGTCATGTTAGCTTAGTCACATTCATTTCAGCTCTTCCAACAAATTCAACAGCAGGCTCAAGTGCTCTTTCAAGCTCCATCAAGTGCCCAAAGACACAGAATTCCAGCCTCTAGAATGAGCTACAGGTCACAAACTCTCCTTTGGCACTTTCAGGTCTCCCTTGTTCTGATCATCAGGCTTCGTGGGCTTCACATCATTGGGTTTCCGAGGTGAAGGGGAGAATGGACCCACCAGCCAAGACATTGGAGCATTATGTAAGACATAGTCCAAGATGTCATCCACATACTCCTGGGCTTTGAGGGCCTTCTCTTGGCTTTGGCTTAGAATGCTGTTGGGGAGGTCTTTGAAAGAGTGAGCACTGGTGAAGTAGGTGTGAAGCTCTTCTATGTTGCGGTAGGCCAGCTGGATGTTCTGCTGGAAGTTAGCTGGCAGGCCTTGGATGCTGGCAATCAGGTTCTTGTAGGCTGCTTGCAACTGCTGGGTGATGTGGTGGGACATGGCCAAGGTCTGAGATTCTAGCTGCAATTAGAAGGAAGAAGTCAACAGATCCCTCAACCAGGGTTCTACATGCATGGGTCAAGCCATGTCAAGCCACCAACGGTTAGCTCCGTTGGTTAGAACATGGTGCTGATAATGCCAAAGTCACGGGTTTGTCTGGGTGCATATTCCTGCACTGCAGGGGTGTGGACTAGATAATCCATGGGGTCCTTCCCAACTCTGATTCTATCACCATTAAATCAGTAGTATAACCATACCTGACGAAGCCTCTCCTGGCTTTCCTGGAGTTTCTGCTGAACACTTTCCTTTGTATCCTCTATCTAGAGAGGAAACAAACAAAAATCAACAGAGCAGCTTGGAATAAACTAAAGCCAAGACAAACCTTGCAATTGCTACACATTTTGTTACCATACCTGTCAGATAACTACTAACCTCTTTGAGGCCCCAGTGCATTGACAGAGATGGGCAAGATCTCGCTCAATTGGATACAAGTTTTCATAAGCAAGCACATGCAGATGTTGAGCTTCTTGTGCAAATAAGATTTCCCTCTCTCGTAGCTTGCCATGTTGGTATCAACATTGTTCATCCTCACACACTGATATCTGATTTTACACGACCATACAATTACACTCTTAGTTTTCCACTGGTGCTCATAAGCAACCATCAGTATTTAACTAGTGCCAGCAATTTGCTTTGACTGTCTAAATGTGACACTTTTACACACTTCTTATGAATCAGGGTCATCTCGCTCTTAAAGCTGAGTATTTGCTATACTGCAGTTTCGCATCTTGCTGCTGTGTGGTCCAGAGATCAAAGCATCCTGTGACTCGAGGATCAATTGCCACCAGCCATTGCTATATCCTCAACAGTTCAACATCTTGAAATTATGCAAATCATGCTCCATCTCCAGGTTTTCCAGTTTTCCCAATGAGCAAAGACCACTATATTTGTCTGCCCAGAAAACCCTGAAAATTTCCAGAAGATTCTGGGGCACATTCTGTGTATAACGTTTATGCAGTGTTGGGGCAGGAGTCTTTTCAGTTACAGTGTTGACTGCCTGAGGTGTTGGGGCAAGGGGACGGGGAAAGGCCCATGGCACAAATCTCCATATGCAAATTTGCGTCATGATCCTAAGCCCCCCGCCCCACCCCATGCCCCCCACTCAAAACAGCCTATGGAGACCAAATGCTTAGATTCCCATGCCATCACGTTTTTTCAGTTGCCAGTCATAACTGGTTAACAAGGAACGCAGATATTTACAGTAGCTTAAAAAGGAAGCAGGCATCTTTTCCCTGTGGTTAACAAAGAGTACACACCGCAGAAGTGAAGACCCTACCTGCCCAATGGCTTGACGCAGCTGAATGAAAGTCTCTCTGATGTTCTCTCTGGCAGCTTTCATCCTGGCTACAGCATGCTGATAAGCACGATGTTGGATCTTGGTTGACAGAGAACCAAGACGCACAAAGTACCCCCGAGTCTCAAGGGGTGTGCCCACTCCTTCTGGTGTAGTTTCTGCAACTTTTGCTAAAGAGCACATTTAAATATTGTTACTTTTTAAAAGGTTTCTACTCTAGCTAACTTCAAACACCCACCCACACCCCAGGAAAGATCACAGCATACCACCTTTCAAAATCCCATAATCAGAAGGAAGATTCATGAAGTATGAAGTAGTTTTTTACTCAAAGCAAGGCCTTTGAAAGATGTTGCACCCATCTAGGATGAATGCGACAAAAATCAGGCACTACTCTCAGAGCAGCCTCTCATGTCTAGTCGCTACCTGCTTAAGTTTCAGAAGGTGCTCACACCTGGAGTAGAGTCCTGGAGACTATCCAAATAAACATGGTTGTCCTGCAGTTCAAACAAAGGTATGTTTGTTTCCCAGTAGGCTCATGATCTTAAGGATAAAGTAGACACCAAAGAAGCTGTGAGCATGGCATGCAAGGCCGTCTTACCCATAGGCGCTAGGGGTGTGGGGCACCTGGGCGCCGGGCTCTCAGGGGCGCCAAGTCGAGAGTCTGAGGCCTGAGAGTTGGGTTTGGGGAAGAGCCCGCCCAGTGGTTGGAGCACTGCAGCTTTCCTGCGGGCAGCTCTGCACCGCGAGTTCGGGGGCAACCAAGCCAGCGAGACGCTGAGGCAGCCGGCCGACTCCGCCCTCCTGTGCGCCTGGGACCGGGCAACCGGGGGGGGGGTGCCGGGTGGATCTTTGCTCCCTGATGCCGCATATGCTAAAGACAGCCCTGATAAAATGGATCACAATAGATCAGGTTGCTATTCTTTGCTTACCCAGTTCTTCTTCAGTCATTGGAAGGTAGTGGTCCAGCAGCTCTTCAGATTTCTCCAGCACTGCTTCTGCTCCACTGAGGGCCATCTTGCCCATTCTCGTTTCTACCACCATCTCTTTGCCATCCTGCACAGCCTTGGCTACTGCTTCTTTTGCATCTGCTACTTTCGATGACACCAGTTCTTGCGTATCAGAAATAACCTAAAGCCAGATCATCAAACAAGCAGCTTTATTCATCACCCCCTACCACGCATTACATTTTACTGCCATGACCACTCTCCACCCACCAGAATTGTTGTGACTAGGCAAGCAACCTCTTATCCAAGTTGCTGTGAATTTGTTCCCCAAAGTTCAGGAAAGCATGAAGAGCAATATTCCAACAGTAGAATTAAATAAATGCTTGGGACATAAGAAAAGATAGTGAGCAGGTTGCAATCTACCTGGTCAGCTGTCTGATGAAGGATGGGGAGCTTCTCCTCTAGCTTGTCCAAGCCCTTGGAGGCATAGTGGCTTGCTGCTGCAACTACAGAGAGGATTCCTTCAGTTGCGGTGCACACATGAATTGTGGAAGAGGAAATTATTGTAGTCTACACACTTGTCATTGTTTGATCTAGCACCACATACTAATGAGGACATTGAGAACAGAGTATTTCAGATGGAGATAGACTGAAATTGCAGAGTTTTGAGAAACTAAAAAACAAAGTGCGAGACTGGCTTCGTTATTACCAGATAATGGAGGCATATAATTTGGACAAGAAAATTGGCTTCCAGGTGGAAAAATCAAAATTAGAAATAGAACTGTTAGAACCCAAAACTAAGATTTTGTCAAAGATGTATAACTTGCTGTTGAAATGGAACACTCAGGATGAAATGGTGAAATCTGTTATGATTAAATGGGCACAAGATGTTGGACATAATATTATGTTTGCTGACTGGGAACAGTTATGGACCACAGGTATGAAGTTTATGGCATGTAATGCCCTAAGAGAGAATATTATGAAAATGATATACAGGTGGTACATGACCCCAGTCAAGCTTGCAAAAATCTATCATTTGCCCGATAATAAATGTTGGAAATGTAAAGAAACTGAAGGTACATTCTTTCACCTTTGGTGGACGTGCCCAAGGATTAAGGCATTCTGGGAAATGATCTATAATGAAATGAAAAAGGTATTTAAATATACCTTCCTGAAGAAACCAGAGGCCTTTCTCCTGGGCATTGTCGGCCAATTGGTGCCAAAGAAGGACAGAACTTTTTTTATGTATGCTACAACAGCAGCAAGAATACTCATTGCAAAGTATTGGAAGACACAACATCTACCCACTTTGGAAGAATGGCAGATGAAGGTGATGGACTATATGGAACTGGCAGAAATGACTGGCAGAATCCGAGACCAGGAAGAAGAGTCGGTGGAAGAAGATTGGAAGAAATTCAAAGACTATCTACAGAAATATTGTAAAATTAATGAATGTTAGAAAGATGTTGGATAGAAATTAAGTGGTTTCCAGCTGTAATGCTGTAAGGGAATATGAAAAATGGGTTATTAATAGGTAAAAATCTAACGTTATTATTTTAAGATCAAAGATTAGGATAAACAAAGAGGGTAAGGATTTGCTGAACCAACAAATTGAACTGGAATACAAAAAAGGGAGGTATGAGGAGGTCCAGGAAACAAGCTAAGGAAAAATAAGTAATGGAAAAAATGAGTGGTTTTTAATCATTTTTATTTTCTATTTTCTTTTTCTTTTTCATTTTTTATATTGTAACATTTTGAAAATTTTCAATAAATATCTTATTAAAAAAAGAGAACAGAGTATTTCACATAGGTGGCATCACATATATATGGGATGGTCATCTTCAAAGATTGCGAATTTGTACTATTGCACTATTTGTACTATTTGTACTAAAGAATTTGTACTATGGCTGCTGGCAGCAGCTAGGCTATGCATGGCACACAAAAATGGAATAATTTATCTGTGGTATAAAAATGTATGGAACTTTACAATCACAGGAAAGATAACCCACACTGTATAAATTTCCAGAAGCTTAGAAGATCCAGAACATTATTATACTGTGTGGTGGGACATTTATCATTTATACCAACACAACTAACCTCCAGGGCTCTTTGGCACTGCCAGTGTGGGGAAAATAGACATTTTACTGTTTCTAGTAATAGGTGCCTCCAATTTTCTTGACAAAGAATGGATAAATGGGTCCCTTTGTCATCTCTGATATTTTTATGCTTTTTTACACTGGTTTTCATTTGTGTTTAATTTCGTACATATGGTGGAATAAGGTATTTAAAAAGAAAAAGATCAGAACATTTCCAATGCAGCCTACTCACCCTGTGGTTCAAGCTTACTGAGAAGAGGCTGGGCACCGCTCACAGCAATATCAGAGACATGCTTCACACCTTTCTCAGCCAAATCCAGAACAACTTTCACATAGGGATGGTTCTCTTTGGTTGAGGCATAAGCAGAGGCAGCCAAATCATAGGTGGAGCTTACCAGAGGCAGACTGGTAGCTCTCTTGAGGACATCCTAGAGGTGTGGTAAGAGAACATCAGTAAAGTATCTCAGTGGCCTGTAATATTCTAGACATTCGTTCTACCAATGGCCTGTACCTAACTAGACACATCATAGTAAAGTTAGTGTCGAGGTAGACTAAATTCCAAACTTTAAAAATCTAACAGTTCTACGTTAGGATTAATCCATGCACCAAGTTTCAAGTTACCTTGCCTATTTTTTTCAATTGTTAAGATATTCGACACTGGCATAGCTCAATATGAGAGCACGTGTTTTGTACTTCAGGACACAAACTTCTTCGGTTGCTTATAGAGAGTCGGGACAGTAGTCTGTCCAAACCAATGTTGTCCTAGCAGTAGCTTCCTGGGGTATCAGGCAGGCATATTTTGTCAGCTAAATGCTTTGTATAGGATGGATGGAAATGCCAGGGATTCAGGCTGGAGCTTTCTGGCTAAAGAGTCCAGGGGTGGAGGGGAGCTATGCCAGAGCCCCAGGACACCAGAGCCCCAGAGCACCAAATGCCAACAAGAAATTTTATTTTGGAGTTTTATACTCTGCCTGCTAACCAAAAGTTCGAGGCAGAGAAAGAGAGAGAGAGAGAGAGAGTTGTGCACATAATGGATAGTAAGACCTGATAGGAGAAACATACCTGCTGTACTATTTCTTTGGTCTCAGGAACTGGAATGCTTTCTTGACTTTTAGAAGTCATTGTGTGGTCTGACCTGGAAGACCAGAAATATAACTCCATTTGTGCCCGTTTCACACAAAAAGACTTCCTAACACAAGCCAGGAGTTCATCCTAAAGCCTTTATGAGAAAGGCAGTTTATTCCCTTTGTTCTAGCTTGGCTTGGCACTCAGACAGGGAAGTGCTTCAGAGTCCCAAAAGCCAAGCAAGGCTTCCAACAGCGTCTTCTTGAGTTTTATAATGATGCAAGGCCTGAAGACAAGGCCCCATTGGCACCACCTACTGGCAGAAGCATTATTACTTTGCACCACCGTTTTTCATCAAAGTTTGTAGCTATTCCAACCCCACATCTCAAACAAACCCCAAAAATACATCCCACCTACTCCCAGTCAGTGGCTGAATCTAAATAGATGTACACCTTTGGTCCTCTCCCTTTCCTCATTAATATTTTGCCCACTTTCACTCCCAATAGGAAAAGCAACCCAACAGGTAGTATTTCAACAGGTGCAGCTCTCCCCCAGCTTAGAGATGCAGTCTTGCTTTATCGTTAGTCAACGAGAGGGTTTTTTGCGTGTGGGTGTGTGCGCATGGATAATACGTATTTTTAAAAGGTCTTCTTAAAAAGGCACAGCACAGTTCTGCATTAGCCATTATTTCACTCCATGATAAAAAGGAACAGAGAAGAGATATTGGAAGGACTTGCAGAGACTTACCCTAAGAGGAGAAAGCTGGGTGAACAAGCCCCCAAATTACAGGCCTTCCAGAAATAAGGCAGAAAGAACATGAGAACCTGAAATTTATGAAGTAGCCAATAAAAAGAAACCTATAAGCATTCAAAAAAGGAGATAGACAAGCTACCCCAGTCTTAAGAACTCCAAAGCCTTTCTCAGCTCACTTCACAGTAGACAGCATCATAAGTAAGACAGATACATATCCACACCTTTGTCAGCAACACAACAGGCGAATCAGAAAAACATAACCAAAACTTACATTTTTTTTGTAGCTAAAGTCCAAAGATGTTCTCTATCTAACCCACACAAGCCCCTTACTTAGTCAAGCGCTTCTATAATAGCTTCCACAACCCTCTTCAGCTGATTTATATATCAGGTGGGGAAGGAAGTCATCACACTGACAGTTCCAGGAACCAAAGAGAAAGGGGCATTTTATCTCCTGAAGAATAAGAGGGTGTCGGCAGGAATATGGGAGGGCCCTTTGCAGAGAGGTCAACCTCTCCAGGTATTTCAATCAGTGGCCTAGGCCTCCAATGGCAAATGATCTGGAATATGGATTTTTCTTGAAGAAGCCACTTTTTGCTCAAGTTTTAATAAATAGTTCACTGATGTGCAGCAAACTCAGGAATAAGGTACTGAGCTAAGTGAAGATGACAGTGGTCTCTTAATTAGGACCTAACCCTGTAAACACTTAACGGCCTCTAATGGAAACACCTGCAGAACTTTCAGCCTCCAATGGCTTAGCAGTGGTTACTCTTAAGGTAGACCAACTGACGACATAGCCTGGCCTACCGTTGCATATTTAACAGGGCCTGCCTATCATTAGACAGGGTGAGGCAACTGCCATCTCTTGCAGATGGTTTGGGATAGCATGAAAAACCGAGCAACTTGCTTAATAGCTTAGGAACACCTGCAGGGTCAAGTTGAATAGCTGCAATTCTCAGGATAATTGTGTTATTTTTCTACCCAAATTTCCAACACGGGGGGGGGGGGCAGGATTCACCTGATGAGGTCCATCAGCAGAAGCCCTGCACAAAGACTTCTACTTGTGCAATGGGGCTTCCCCAACTTTTACATCACTCCTGCCCCCCCCCACTCCATGCATCTCAAAATTGGCTTTGGGGATAGTCAGGGGATCCCTTTGAACATTATGGAAGGGAGGGGAGATCATTCCATTTTGCAAGCTGAAATGCTTGTTCAGACAAGAACATAACTCCCACCCAAGGAGTCTGGATTTAGATCAGACCCCTAATGTGGGGTGGGTGTGGTCTTTAACCATTTGGCTCCTGCTATGGCCCCAATCCAATGCAAATTCCAAGTGCCAGGGACCTGATCTGGATCACAACACACACATCAGGACCCTGAACAGTATTGGGGTGGCAGCTACTCTGGCAATCTATTTACAACAACAACAACAACAAACCTGAATGTAAATTCACAGGAACAAAACTTACCTAACATATAATTTGTTGCTACAGGAGCCAATTAACAAAGAGGAAATATAGTCTGGTCTTTAATGGCAGTATTATATGAAGAAATAAGGTGATGTAGCCTTCCACCCTAAGGATAGCCAAAGTCATCTGTGGCTACCAACCACAGTGTTTATATGAAAGAAGAAGAAGAAGAAGAAGAAGAAGAAGAAGAAGAAGAAGAAGAGGAGGAGTAGTAGTTTGGATTTGATATCCCGCTTTATCACTACCCTAAGGAGTCTCAAAGCGGCTAACAATCTCCTTTCCCTTCCTCCCCCACAACAAACACTGTGTGAGGTGAATGAGGCTGAGAGACTTCAGAGAAGTGTGACTGGCCCAAGGTCACCCAGCAGCTGCATGTGGAGGAGCGGAGACGCGAACCCGGTTCACCAGATTACGAGTCTACCGCTCTTAACCACTACACCACACTGGCTCTCCACACCACAGAAGGCCTCTGTAATCCAATTGCTGGTGGGGAGAGCACTGCTGCACAAGCTTCCCATAGTGAATCTGGTTCACCACTGTGAGAACAGGATGCTGAAGTATGATGGGACTTTGGCCCAATCCAGCAGGACTCTTCTTATGGTGATATTGAAGTATGCATTGTTGGAATAGGCAAAACCCTTTAATTAAAATTCACTGTATTCAGATAGGAAAGTCTGCAAGGGGTTAATATATCTGAGGGTGGGGTGCTGAGTGCCTTTACTGAATTGCCAGTTTACTTTGAGTTTACCCCCTTGCTTCTCTCTGTAACATTCCATGGTTGAGATCATCTCAAATTAATGCAGCTGTGTAAGTTTTGTTGCTGTTTCTGTCTCCTTTGCAAAGAGACAAAGGACCTACTCTGCAACATGTGTGGCCTATCTCTTTAAGAGGCATGCCTAGTTTATAACAACAGCTGATGGTGGAATATGTTTCCTTTATTAACTTTAGTTTTTCACATTTCCCAAAAACTTTGTGATTTTTTTAAATGAGAAAAAAACACCTCATGGAAATTCTTCGGTAGATTCTCCTAATAACACCAGGCAGTCTTCCCGAATGCAACACATTTTTGTATGTTCTTTCCACTAATGTATGCATTTATATTCTCATTTTGCCCCAGTATGTGCATGTTGGTAAAAATTACTTAGCATTGCAAAATTTGGAGTAGTGTGAATTTTGAAGGATGGTTGCATTTCAGTTTGTGTATTATTTAGGAAACTGTCAGTTAGGTATTATTTTTATTTATTGGGTAGAGTTGCCTTTAAATGTGAACATAATTCAGATTTCTCCCCCAATCCCTAACAGCAGTTCCCTTCTGATGTGAATGGATGTGGTTTCCTTCACAATCCAGTTAGCACTGGTTAGGTGTGTTGGTCAATTCTGTATAGCAAGTCTAAATGGCTTGTTGCTCCTAAATGAAGGAAAGTTCCTGAAATCACCCCTTTGTTGTTGTTTTGCATTGGGGAAGGCAAGCTGAATGTTCATTTGCACTGTGAGTAGTCTCTTCCATTCTCACAAAAATACGGAAGGCACTGTTGCAAATTGGTTACTCTTACAAGTGATGCCTGAGAACAAGGCTGATGATGATGTTGATCAGCTGCAGCGTCCAGTGCAAAAGTTGGCAACTGTATGCAAAGGACTTGGAATGGGCTAGTTAGGTTTAATTAAGGGCATCAAATTAGTTCAAATTTATCGGTATGTAATGAATGATGCTTTGCAGGGTTAAAGAAAGAGAAAAATGGTGTGAAAGTATAAAGACAGAGGTAATCTACATTAGACACAGCAACTTAGAAAGAGTAAAAATTTTGAGGTCTTAGAACAAAGGAAGGAAGTCAATATGTGTATATGTATGTAATGACAAGATTAGAATGATGATATGGTTTTATTTGTAGATGTGTGTTTTTGTTTTTTGATTGTTTTTGGTGTTCTTTTTTCTCGTGTGTTTTTTTCTTGTTTGTACTGTTTTATTTTGGATTCAACGTTTGTAATTTTTGCTGTAATTTTGCATTGAAAATAAAAAATTTTTTTAGAAAAACCACAAATCAGTTCAAATTGTGGTGTAATTAGGGCCAGCATACTTCAGCTGCTGCTCAGCTTTACCAGATGTGTAGCAGAGTAGACACAGCTAGTGCCTTTGTGTGTAAGCATGCAGAAAAACAGAAAAACAATCTCTGAACTAACCTCAAAAGTCGTTCCCATAATTGCCAAGCAAACTGAACGTGGATCAAGTTCATTTTGAAATAGAACTTTGAAGGATTTCTAGCTCCTAGAATTATAAAGTTGGAAGGGACTATGAGGTTCATTTAGTCCATTTCTCTGCAAGGCAGGAATCTTTTTGCCCAATGTGGGGGATCAAACCCACAACCCTGGGATTAAGAATCTCATGCTTTACCGACCGAACGATCCCAGCTCATTATTATTATTTTTTTAAAAAAATACTTCTTGGACACTTTGACTTTGAAACTTGAAGATCATAACTGCTGGGGGAAATAAGCAATTCACATTTGACTGCGTATGCCATTTACGGTTTCCTTAGTCTGCTTAAGGCTGTTTTATAGCTCAGCGCAGCATTTTGTGATACTCTAAATGCTGCAGCAGGGGGATGCTGAGGATTGCTTGGATGAATTTGAGCCAGTGGCAACACCAGTAAAAAACAAATTATAGGAGGGCACAGAAGGGGCAAAGTATATTTCTAGGTGGGCAAGAAAGAAAAATAACTGTATATGCTACTGACAAGAGTTCAGAAATGGGGTGGGCAAGTGGGGGTGAAATGCTTGTTTAGGAGAGTGTTTGCCCTCCTTCCCTTCCTCTGCCACCACCGATGTCTTGAGTTGAACTGTGATCTGTGAACCAAACTAGTCTAGGAGAGATCCGCTGGGAGAGATCATCAGAGGGTTTGGGCTGGGTGTTCATCAGTATGCAGATGATACCCAGCTCTACCTCTCTTTTAAATCAGAACCAGTGAAGGTGGTGAAGGTCCTGTGTGAGTGCCTGGAGGCGGTTGGAGGATGGATGGCGGCTAACAGATTGAGGTTGAATCCTGACAAGACAGAAGTACTGTTTTGGGGGGACAGGAGGCGGGCAGGTGTGGAGGATTCCCTAGTCCTGAATGGGGTAACTGTGCCCCTGAAGGACCAGGTGCGCAGCCTGGGAGTCATTTTGGACTCACAGCTGTCCATGGAGGCGCAGGTTAATTCTGTGTCCAGGGTGGCTGTCTACCAGCTCCATCTGGTACGCAGGCTGAAACCCTATCTGCCTGCGGACTGTCTTGCCAGAGTGGTGCATGCTCTAGTTATCTCCTGCTTGGACAACTGCAATGCACTCTACGTGGGGCTACCTTTGAAGGTGACCCGGAAACTGCAATTAATCCAGAATGTGGCAGCTAGACTGGTGATTGGGAGTGGCCACCGGGACCACATAACACTGGTCCTGAGAGATCTGCATTGGCTTCCAGTACGTTTCCAAGCACAATTCAAAGTGTTGGTGCTGACCTTTAAAGCCCTAAACGGCCTCAGTCCTGTATACCTGAAGGAGCATCTCCACCCCCATCGTTCAGCCCGGACACTGAGATCCAGCACTGAGGGCCTTCTGGCGGTTCCCTCATTGCGAGAAGTGAGGTTACAGGGAACCAATCAGAGGGCCTTCTCAATAGTGGCCCCTGTGGAACACCCTCCCTTCAGATGTGAAGGAAATAAGTAGCTATCTTCTTTTTAAAAGACATCTGAAGGCAGCCCTGTTTAGGGAAGTTTTTAATATTTAATGCTGTATTGTTTTTAACACTTGATTGGAAGCCGCCCAGAGTGGTTGGGGAAATGGGCGGGGTATAAATAATAAATTATTATTATTATTATATAGTCTGTTTTGTAAAGAGACAAACAGGAGGTGGTTCCTTTTTGGACATCTTGAACTAGTTGTTTTTCAGAATGAGCTTTCCAGTCTCTGCCTATTCATATGTTTCAGGCTTTTCTAATCATTATCTTTCCATTGAATGAAATTGCCCGTTGCATGACTTCTGCTAAAAGCTGCAGGGCTCATACAAAAGTTGGCGAAACTAGATTTTCAAGCGCGTCTCAGACCAGCTAAGGCCACCCACCACAAACCTCTCCTTTCTTCTTGCTATTTTATATGTGTGTGTAGAGTCTGCTAATACAGAGAAAATAAGCCCAGTGTGTACCTGCCTTTTGAAGACACCCTGCCCAGATGCTAAAATGCGGAACATTTATATAACGGCTTTTAACAAAAATGGAGTTCCAGAATCCTCCTAAGCAGCTTTTCGATAAATGTCAAGATACTCGGCTGCTTTGCAAAGGGAAATGATTTCCCATGGCTTTGATTTGGTTAAGTGCAAGCAGAAAGCTTCCAAAGTACGAAGCACGATGACACAATCTTCTCTTAAGATCTGGTCTGAACAATTCTAAAGTTCATAGGAAATGAAGCTGGGAGAGAAAAGAAACCATGAAATAGGCTTGGCATTTGCATTGTTCCATACAAAAGCCTAGGAGGGGGTGGGCAGGCATCGTGGTGCAATGCTGGAGCACATTTTGGGGGGGAAGAGAGTCTTGGGTTTCATCCTGCTTATAAAGATGAGATGGTGGGTGGGAGACACCAGCAGCAGACGTTGGTCTTTCAGATTTCAGCAGCACCCTGTGCAAGGCCAAAATTCGCCCATCCCCGACTCTCGCCTTCTGTTCTGCTCAATTCACTATGTCATAGTTGCAGCGCCCCGCAACACCCACTAGGCTCAGCACCCAGCGCAGCAGAACTGGTCATGCAGCCCTAAATCCGCCTTTGGAGACACCCTGGAGAGCCACCTTCTGGAATAGACAATACAGTGGTACCTCGGGTTACATACGCTTCAGGTTAAATACGCTTCAGGTTACAGACTCCGCTAACCCAGAAATATTACCTCAGGTTAAGAACTTTGCTTCAGGATGAGAACAGAAATCGTACTCCGGTGGCGCGGCGGCAGCAGGAGGCCCCCATTAGCTAAAGTGGTGCTTCAGGTTAAGAACAGTTTCAGGTTAAGAACGGACCTCCAGAACGAATTAAGTACTTAACCCGAGGTACAACTGTACTGAGATAAACTGTCCACATTTGTGTTTATTTATGCCATAATTCTCTTTTTCTTCTTAGTGACACACAGACATGAAGATTGTACAGTGGTACCTCCGGTTACAAACTTAATCCGTTCTGGAGGTCCGTTTGTAACCCGAAACCGCTCGTAACATGAGGCACGCTTTCACTAATGGCGCCTCCCGCTGCTTGCCGTGTGACTTCCGCTCGCATCCCGGGGCAAAGATCGCAACTGGGAGCATCTACTTCTGGGTTAACGGAACTTGTAACCCACAGCGTTCACAAGAAGGACGGTAGGTAACACGAGGTTCCACTGTAGTGAGAAGTGGGAAGAGAAGGTGGTTTTCAGGAAGGAGGGAGGAGAGAGACTTCTTAAGTCCCCCCCTGCCATTTTTCTGATGAAAATTGTCTCCGAGGATGCTTGCACGCTGTCCGCCCTGCAAACTAGGGAAAAGATAATGGGTACATCATCATCATCATCATTAACTGCAAATGGTTGGTGGCTGAATGTGGGGAACTACCTGAGAAAGAATCTCAGCAGTTGTGGTGCTCTGCCTTTAGTATTTTCTTCTCAGAGGGATTTACCTTGTACAGTATTGAATTACCCAGGCTTTAAATTGTTGGTTTTCATCTGCATTAAAAGTTTCTGATCGTTGTGCTGCTCTCTGCTGTTTCAATTATCAAAGTTTCTTTCTTTCTTTCTTTCTTTCTTTCTCTCTCTCTCTCTCTCTCTCTCTCTCTCTCTCTCTGTGAAACTGTTTGTTTTATCTTATTTTTAACTGTAAGCTACCCTTTAGTCTGTGAACCCCCTGAGACCTGTGGATACAGGGCAGTATATGAATTCAATAAATTAATGAATAAAATAAACACCCTGAGAGTTTCAGGATATGTTTCCTGAAATAAGAAAACAAATAAACATGCTTGTTACATGTAGGCATGCTCAAAGAGACGTAGCGAAATGTACGACACAACATCCCCTATCTTTATATATTCACTTCTCTACTTCAAGAGGTAATCAAATGAAAGAAGGTGCTTCATAGCTTTAGACGCCCAGCCATCCTGAAGTAGACTTTTTGCCTCTGAGTCACAGCAATTTCCCTTAATTTATTTCTGTTTGCAAGATGCTGACCTTTTTGGCATGACACTAAACATCTCCAGTGCTTTCTGAGCAAAGGTTACCATGGAGACATATTGTAGGGAGCTTGGGCATCATTCGCAGCAGATCCTAACTTCAAATTGACATTGGATTTATTATCTGTCAGCTGAATTGTCATGGCTGCCCCCAAAGAATCCTGGGAAATGAGATCTGGACAGTTAGCGATTCTGGAAGAAAATGCATGAGATCTCACAAATTTCTGAGAGCTGGCATACTTTTAAAAATTTACAGTTGTAGGCACACTTCATTCTTCCTTCACTCGTCGTAATCTTCATAAAGTTTAGTTTCAGAATGGGATGTGCAGCTCCCAGGTAGTGGTGGGTAAATCTATCAATTTCAGTACTATTCTGTTTTTCCCTACCCCCAAGTCTTCAATATGGTTCTCCACATTTATTTATTTATTGCACTTATATTCCACCCTTTTCCCAAGGAACTCAAGGTGGTCCACATGGTTCTCCTCCTCCTCATTTAATTCCCACCAAAACCCTGTGAGGTAGGTCAGGCTAAGAGGCCTAACTAGCCCAAGATAAGCAAGCAAGCTTCATGGCCAAGCGGAGATTTGAACCCTGATCTCCCAGGTCCTAGTCTGACACTCTAACCACTGCACCACACTGGCTCTCCACAACAGTTTGCATTGTTTTATTTATGTATTTTTACATCCTCATGAAAATGTACACCCATGTTTGTGTGACTTCCTCCTATTATACACGTTGTTGTACAGTGGTACCTTGGGTTACATACACTTCAGGTTACATATGCTTCAGGTTACAGACTCCACTAACCCAGAAATAGTGCTTCAGGTTAAGAACTTTGCTTCAGGATGAGAACAGAAATTGGGCTCTGGCGGCGCAGCAGCAGCAGGAAGCCCCATTAGCTAAAGTGGTGCTTCAGGTTATGAACAGTTTCAGGTTAAGAACGGACCTCCGGAACAAATTAAGTTCTTAACCCGAGGTACCACTGTATAAACTTTTCCAGTGCATCGTTCCCTTTTATATAATGCATCTTTCATTAACAGTCACATTTTTACGCACACCTTAGCCGGATACATGCATTCTTGCATTTCGTATGCATTACTTGGCTTGAGAACTTCTAGAATTGTAGAGCTGGAAGGGACCACAAGGATCATCTAGTCCAACCCTCTGCAATGCAGGAATCTTTTGCCCTCCATGGAGCTCAAACCCACGACCCTGAGATTAAGAGTCTAACGCTCTACCGACTGAGCCACCCTCCACCCTCATATGTTGACGTTTCTGAAGCGGTAACATAATAATAATAATAATAATAATAATAATAATAATTTTATTTATACCCCGCCCTTCACAGTTCAAAAACCTGGCTCAGGGCAGCTAACAACAAATTTAAAACACTTTAAAACACTTAATTATAAAAGTAGCATAAAATGCAGTATAAAAACATGAATAACAATAAAATTCAAAAATCAAAAATCAATTAGATAATCCCCAGGGCCAGCTGGCTGAATTGGTCCTACTTGGGCCAGCGAGGAGGCCAGGGGAGAATTAGCTGTGGGGTCTCAGAGCGGGTGATCTTCATAAAAGGGGAGGGGGAGGGAAGAGAAGGGAAATAAAAGATCAGGCTGAATTCAAATTAAAGGCCAGGCAGTATAGCTCTGTCTTGCCTGACGGAAGGAGGTTAAATCCTGAAGGGCCCTAGTCTCATGGGAAAGAGCATTCCACCAGGTTGGAGCCATTACTGAAAAGGCCCTGGCCCTGGTGGAGGATAGTCTAACTTCCTTAGGGTCTGGGACCTCTAAACCTTAAGGTCCTCTGTGGGGCATACCAGGAGAGGTGGTCTTGTAGATATGAGGGCCCTAAGCCATACAGGGCTTTAAAGGTCAAGACCAGCACCTTGAACCTGACCCTATACTCCACTGGAGCAAACATTTGCAAATTTGTGCATGATGCAGAGACACTCGCTGGGAAGCCAGGATCAGCCGCAGCTCCCTCTGCAATGGATACACATTGGCCAAACCCCATTTGCAACAAGAAAATATGTGAAATGCCCCTAATCATGAGTGTACCCCAGCATACTGTTGCAGAATTAAGAATTTATGCTGCAGCTAGACTTTTATCACTACACTTTTGGCAAAGGTCAGTATCGCTGAGGCACATACATGAACCCAAAAGCTGCAGGCTTGTTGGAGTCATAATACAGGATGTGATATATAATTCCCAACATGAGCAAATAAATCCTTGCATGCAGGGTGAGCTGGGGGAAACTGTATTAATAAAACGGATAGCCGGAAGCACAGAAGCTGATGGGTGGCTAGGAACAACTTCAATTTCACCCTCCAAATTACATAGTAATCCTAAAGGTGGAACTGAATTCTACCAAGTCTATTTAGAAGAATTGCTTGCAATTCAAAGTTATTCTGCCACCCACAATTGCATAAGTGTTAGGAATAAAAAGGAAGAAATATTTTTCTGCTTCCCATTTGCCATTACACCTGATTGCTTTTATTCTTTTTGCTCCCCTGGAGAACAAAATTCTGAGCATTTCCATCTTGAAGCTGCTGCTGCTGCTGCTGCAAGGTTATGTATTTATTCCTCCTGCTTTTCTCCCCCCAGTCAGAAAACTAAGTAGATGACTCACAGCTTTATGTGGGCTACGGAATGAACCATGAAGTGCAAGAACACTGTAAAATCCTTCTGATACAGACATCAGTTGAGAATTTTAAGGGCTAGAGAATGTAGCTATGTCTTTAGAGCTGTATCACAGCACTTCAAATGGTCCTGGCTTTCCTTAGAGAACTATAGTTCCTGGGAACTGTAGGTTGTTAAAGGTGCTAAGAGTTGTTAGGAACAGTGCCGGTGCCAAAATATTTTGTGCCCTAGGCAAGGTTAACTGCTTGCTTGCTTACCTTATCCCATTTCTCTCTCTCTCTCTCTCTCTCTCTCTCTCTCTCTCTCTGCTAATTTCAATTTTCAAAAACAGATGTCTTGTAGAAAAAAGTGAAAAGCGCAAAACTAGAAACTGCTAAATTTATTTTATATTGCAAGAATAAGTATAGAACCATATCTGTTTATCCTTCTCAAATACAAAAAACAAACAAACACCAAACCAAACATTTTAGCACACAAATCATTTTGAATAATCTTGTGAATTGTGGTGTTAAAATTTAAGCCCTTTAAAACTTTCAATCTCGGGCACATCAAAATCTCACTTGCATGCCTTTTCCTTTGCGAATTTTGTCACTGATTCCTTCAGGTCAAGTGCTGATGTCTGGGCATGTTCCATTGATATAGTTGCCAAGCCAGCTAGTCTATTTTGCAACAAAGCGTATGAAAGTTCTAAAAAATTTGAGTTTTGAGAACCTGCATTCACCACTTGGCACTGACACCAGGAGTTTTTGTTGTAGCATGAAGAGAATTACTTGTGGCGGCATGGACTTTGAGCTATTACTATAAGCACAGATCTTCAGCATCAATATATTTTGTTTCTATTGTTTCTATTTTGTTTCTATTTTGTTTCAATCATTCTATTCAATGATTTTTTTTTTTCCAAATTCTTGCAGACCTTCAGTAGTCTTAATTATATACTGTATGTATCATTCAGGAAGTCAAACAGGGAATTATATTGTTGTAGCTCTTGGAATCTCTCTTCAACAAATTGCATGGCCATGTCTAAGACAGCATAGTGGAAACCTCCTTTGAATTTTTGCTTTGGAATAATAATAATAATAATAATAATAATTTATTTGTACCCCACCCATCTGGCTGTCACACATTAAAAACTTCCCTGAACAGGGCTGCCTTCAGATGTCTTCTAAATGGCAGGTAGTTGTTTTTCTCTTTGACATCTGATGGGAGGGTGATCCACAGGGCAGGCGCCACTACCAAGAAGGCCCTCTGCCTGGTTCCCTGTAGCTTTGCTTCTCGCAATGAGGGAACTGCCATAAGGCCCTTGGCGCTAGACCTCAGTGTCCGAGCAGAATGATGGGGGTGCAGACGCTCCTTCAGGTGTACTGGGCCGAGGCCATTTAGGGCTTTAAATCTTTTGGAATCTTGTGGTGCCTTATACTCAAACAGCCATTTCTTTTTCCTCCTTCTAACTTGCTCTTTCTCAAAGTTTGGTAGTGTTTTTTAGCTCCTTGGCCATCTTAGTAGCATCTATCGAAACTTGCTGAAAACCCTCATTATACCTGCAGCCCACAAGGTAATTATTGGTCATTTGCAATTGGCTTGTTGTTGTTGTTGTTTAGCCATTTAGTCGTGTCCAACCCTTCGTGACCCCATGGACCAGAGCACGCCAGGCACTCCTGTCTTCCACTGCCTCCCACAGTTTGGTCAAACTCATGCTGGTAGCTTTGAGAACACTGTCCAACCATCTTGTCCTCTGTCGTCCCCTTCTCCTTGTGCCCTCCATCTTTCCCAACATCAGGGTCTTTTCCAGGAGTCTTCTCTTCTCATGAGGTGGCCAAGGTATTGGAGCCTCAGCTTCAGGATCTGTCCTTCCAGTGAGCACTCAGGGCTGATTTCCTTCAGAATGGATAGGTTTGATCTTCTTGCAGTCCATGGGACTCTCAAGAGTCTCCTCCAGCACCATAATCCAAAAGCATCAATTCTTCGGCGATCAACCTTCTTTATGGTCCAGCTCTCACTTCCATACATCACTACTGGGAAAACCATAGCTTCAGCTTGGCTTGTAGCTGAATTTAAATCAGCTTCCTTATTTTGCAGTAGCTTGCTTGTTAAGATTGACTTCGAAAATGATGCCGTACCATGGAACAAAGGATGCCACAAACTTGAACTTACAAATTGCATAGCTCAATAGGGAAATGAATACATTTTCTAAATAAGGTAAAGATGTGACTGTAATATTTAAAATTAAGTGCTTTTTCACTTTGTGTGTGGGACTGAGATATCTATATATCTATATCTATGTAGAAATATAGCTGGTCTTTCAGATGCTAAAAGTCATGAGAGAGAGAGAGTTGGCAGTTTGATCCAAAACTCAATGAGCCCAGATAATATTAGCAAGCCTCAATTTCAGCCGATTACCAGTTGTTGTTTTTCCAGGTGCCTATGACGTCTAAGAAAACGTTACAAGCTCTTTCTGAGCAGCTGTGTTCAAAAATAGTTTGCATATACTGTAAAGTGCTGAGCTGTGTGAAATAGTCCATCTGTCAAGTTTAATTTCCTCCATTTTGGGTCAGATCTTGGCTAGAGCTCTAAATAGACAGTTTCCCAACATTATGTGCTATAGATCTCTACACTCAGTTGACTCTCCTTTGAGTCACAAATAAATGCCGACTGCTGTGACAAGTGTGCCACCCACTTTGAGGACAAGAATCACGCATAGGCGGCATGGCTTTAGGTCCACAAATTTGCTGATGGAGTCTGCTCTCAGGATATAGAGCAGTAGTGTCTGGGGGTCTGGTGGGCTGCCAGAGCTTGTTAGTGGACTTCAACTCCCATCAGCCCCAGCCAGCATGACCAGTGGTCAGAGATGATGGGAGTTGAAGTCCAGCAACATCCAGAGCGCCACAGGTTCCCCACCTCTGGTATACAGCCTCATCTGTCCCATTATCTGTACCTGAATGGTGTGTGCTAACAGTGTCTTATGCATTTGGTGAGGATTGTCCCCAAGTCAGTATCCCATACCCTCCAACATTTCTCCAAATAGGAACATCCTATTCAATAATAATAATAATAATAATAATAATAATATTTATACCCCACCCATCTGACTGGGTTGCCCCAACCACTCTGGGTGACTTCCAACATATATAAAAACAGAAAGAAATATTACACATTTAAAAACTTCGCCATGCAGGGCTGCCTTCAGATGTCTTCTGAAGGTTGTATTGTTACATATCTCCTTGGCTCAGGTGTCACATAAATCCATACCCTCCAACATTTCTCCAGTGAAAATTGGGACACCCTAAGGAAAAGCAGGGCAAATCAGAAACTGGGACGGCTTCTCTAAATCAGAGACATTCCTGGAAAATAGAGACACTTGGGGTGGGTTCTGTCACAGCTGCCACCATCACCGCTCAGGACAAGTGCTGGCTCATCCTCTCCCCTGAGCTTGGCAACAGCAGTGCTGGTGGGGGAAAGAGCCACATTCCAGGATGAAATCAGAAGCTGGAGTGGCTTTTGTAATTTTGGGACTGTCTCTGGGAAATCGGGACACTTGGTGGGTATGAAAGCGCATTGCTGCAAGACAGGCTTGAGGTCTAGTACTGCTTATGACATACATACGCTCGCAGAGAGAAGCAAAAGTGTGGTGTAGTGGTTAAGAGCTGTGGGCTCGTAATCTGGTGAACTGGGTTTGCTTCCCTGCTCCTCCACATGCAGCTGCTGGGTGACCTTGGGCTAGTCACACTTCTCTGAAGTCTCTCAGCCCCACTCACCTCACAGTGTTTGTTGTGGGGGAGGAAGGGAGAGGAGATTGTTAGCCATTTTGAGACTCCTTAGGGTAGTGATAAAGCGGGATATCAAATCCAAACTCTTCTTCTACTTCTCCTCTGAACCACTACAGAGCATTGTTACTACGCTATGGCAATTAATCAAACACAAATGCACGCGAATTACAGATATTTATGGCAATGGAGCCCTTCAGCCGGGGTGGCCCATAATCTGGACTGTGCGACCTCCATCATGAATTACATGGTCTGCTGGCCACTTGTCCTAATAGGTTTATGCCCTCATCACTGATGCCACCATGAGTTTCCCAGTCTTCTGTGAAATTTTAATTGCTCGAAAGCATTTCAGGGGACACTTCAAGATCCATCAGTGGCATAAAAGAGGGAGACCACCCGGTGGAGAGTTCTGAATGCGGTGAACAGAATGTCCTCCCACGAAGGGATTCCGTATTCTAAGGCAGCAATCCGGGCGATTGTTGATGCGTTCCTCTGTGAGGGTGACAGAGGAATGGAGGTTTTTAGAACTCTGTGAATGACAGCCCTTACCCTCTATCTGTAAAAGGGAAATGCCGTTTCGAGGGAAGGGAAAGGAGTGTGACATCTCCGAGAAGCTGCAGAAGTTCTGGAAAAAAAGTGAGACGGAATTTGTATTTCTGTTGCTGTGTGCTCACCTTACATATCTTGTAAGCCTTACTATTCTTGCCATATTGATCAGTCCCCTGGGTGTGGGGGTGTGGAATCATTAAGATAGCACTTCTTTTCGGATTAATATTTGCAAAATGTATGCCGGAGGTTGCCAACTCCGTCTCTTTGCAACAAGTAAAAACATGTCCTCCTGTTAGGTTAAGCAGTATTATGGTCTGCAAAGCAGATAAAATAAACCCCTGGTTTGGCCAAGGTCTAGCAGTTGACCCACCATATTGTGTTGATTCTGTTTGCTGGATCCTGTTCTGTTTGTGCCCCTGCCTCGTGGACCAGAATTTTTGAAACCAGACGTTGGTAATTCTGTGATAATTCTGCACCCGACTCTTTTTGTCCTATCCTCATAAACAGAAGCAAGAAACAAGCTTTCTCCTTTGTAAGAATTTGGTGCGAAGGAAAAAATCCTCATCTTCAGTTTTGTTTGGTTTTTATTTTGTGTGGGACACCTGTGGATATGTTCAAATGTTCTGCGAATTTGTCAGCGCAAACTTTTCAGAATACAGATAACCAATTTGCCCCTCCTGCAATCTTTTAATCTAGGAAAGAAGCTACATAAACTGCGCCGGGCTCTTGCTATGATGATTTATCCTGAGAATTTTACTCACTCCATTAGCTCCCCATCAGGTAAGCAACATAAACATCACTTATATTATTAAGATCAGCGTTTGGAGGCCCCACTGTCAAACATACCTATAGGAAAAGACTTTTAAGTTGTGGTATCCTGTTTGCAGAATGCTTTACCATCACACAACAGAGGCTATGTACATAATGTATGTTCAAATCATAGTTGCCTCCAAAGAATTCACCCACAGAGCTACAATTCCCAGCACCTTTAAGAAACTACAGTTCCCAGGATTCTTGAAAGGGGTGCTTTAAATAGTTGGTGGATGTACAGAGCCTGAGTGGCTTTTTGATGCAGCTTTGAAAACCATTTATTTATTTATTTCCCAAGCCTTTTCTCATTCTGATGAAAGCTGTCTGCTGAATTTACTGTTTGTTTATTTTATCTGCTCTCCTGCATTTGGACTGTTTATATTTTTTACTGCATGCTTTTCATTATTATGTCTTTGAATTTGCAAGGTGACAAAGAAGCTTTTCTAAAGCTAAGAGGCAGTGTAAAAACTTTTTTTTTTAAAAGTAGTTCCAATGGGCTTCAATTACAAAGAGGGTAGATTTTGGTTGGACATTAGGAGGAACCTCTAGACAGTAAGAACAGTTCAATATTGAAGTTAATGACTTAGAGGAGTGGTGGGCTGCAAATTCATCTATTGAGGATGCTTGTAGCTCTAGAGTTTCCACCCTGAGCAGAGAATCAGATGGAAATAGCCTTCAGGGCTCCTTCCAACGATGTGATTATGTGAAATTCAGAGTTTTGTCCTACTTCCTGGCGATTTAGCAGATGCAAACAGGGTCACTATGGTGTATCTTTAACCACACTATTGTCAGATAACTATTGCTGCAATACTAAAGTCACTTGCTAGGCCATGTGGAGAATATAGTATGTTGGATCAGACAAAAGTCAGTTTGTCCCAGTATTTTGCTTTCATCAGCAGACAACACATGCCTTATGAAAAATCAGAAGCAAGTTATGGTTTAAAGAAAACAGTCTTATCCTTTTGTCTGTCCCCTGTGTAGAAGGGCAGGATTTCTGAATACAGACGTCCTCCGTTATTTTGCCTAATCCCCGCCTCCCTGCCATGTAAGCTTTTGGACATCATCACTATAACTTGTGGTTATGAGTTCCACAAGGTAATAGAATATGTTTGCCTTTAGGATGGGGAACCTTTTGAAACTGAGGTGTTGCTGTCAGCAGAAACCCATGTGGTTTCAAGCCAAAATAAAATAAAATAAAATGCATGTGTTGCATTCTAAACTGAACAAAAGACTTAAAAGAAGATTCAGTGGATGCATGATATGGCGGTATATCAATCAAAAAGTCACAGATCCTTAGACGACAGGTATTGATTGCAGTGGTACTTCGGGTTACATACGCTTCAGGTTACATACGCTTCAGGTTACAGACTCCACTAACCCAGAAATAGTACCTCGGGTTAAGAACTTTGCTTCAGGATGAGAACAGAAATTGTGCTCTGGTGGCGTGGCGGCATCAGGAGGCCCCATTAGCTAAAGTGGTGCTTCAGGTTAAGAACAGTTTCATGTTAAAATGGACCTCCGGAACGAATTAAGTACTTAACCCGAGGTACCACTGTAAACAGAACATCAGATGCCAGGACAGATGTTCTAGCATTATAATCAGGAAAGTGAATGCAATCATCTCTGTATCTGATGCACCTCAAGTGATCATTTACACTTCTTAGGAGTTTTCTGGAAGGAATGACAGGCTTAACAGCCGTGGGATCTCCACAAAGAGAAGAGAAAAAGTAGCCAAGTCTGATGGATGGAAAGATTCACCTACTTAGGCTCTCCTGGCATGAGGAGAATTTTTAAAGCAAATGTGGTTCTATGGCCCTCTGGTGGCATTTTATAAGCTACAACATGCTGCAATAAAATTTAAGTACGCTGGTGGGCAAAGGGTCAACCGTACTGACTGAAAACTACTTCCACAATGCACATATTTATTTGTGACATTATTTGGGGGCATGGTCCATCCGAGGAAGCTCACAACATAATACACCATGAATACAAGCAATCTGAAAGTTCTCAAAATTGGCCAAAGATTGCCTTGAGACTTTTGCAGGAGGGATTCAAATGCCTAGCGAAATATTAGGGTTTATGCAGTTAAAGTGACTTATGTGCAGGAGAAGCGCCAAGTCCACACTAAACAGGCATGAGGAAGTGCCCCAAGAAAGAGCTATTGCACTCATGTCATGCTCCTCACATGAGAAACAAGATAGCAGACTAGGCAGCCCCTTGGTCTGATCCAGTAGGGCTCAAACGTTCTTTGCAATAAGCCCCACTGGATTCAATGGGGCTGAAGTCCCAGGCAAGCTGTGCATAGGGTTGCAGCCTTCATAGCTGCTGGATTCAATTGGACAAGCAATCATAATGAAACTAATTTGCATGTACAGCCTGATTGGTTGGCACTGCTCTCTCCTTCAGTGCTTGCCAGGCTGAAGAAACAATGGGAACTCCCATCACTTGCCACCCTGGTGGTTTCCCCCCATGACTCTTCTTAGACAGTGGCAAAACGCCGCCATCTTTCCGGAAACCATCCTCATTCACCCTGGGGATGAAGTTTTGAAACCATGGCAGCGGAAGCCTCTTCCTGAGAGCCAATGTAGTCCTCCTCTAATGGGAAATGCCCAAAATGTTAACATAGCAAGCCGTCAGCGTGAAGAATAAGCCCAATGGAATGATCCAGTCTTCCTCCTCCAAGTCCAAAGTAGTTGTTGCTCTGGGGAAAAAACAGTAATAGGGTTGCCTTCTGGTGAGTCTGGGTAAACACTGGGGGGAGACGCAGCTCATTCCATAGGGACAACAATGCTTGATTTAATAATAATAATAATAATAATAATAATAATAATAATTTTTATTTATACCCCGCCCTCCCCAGCCAAGGCTCAACTCAGGGCAGCTAACAAGCAATAATAAAAACAAGTTGAATGAATACAACTTAAAAACAAGATTAAAATACAATTAAAATATTAAAACATTAAAATATTAAAATGCAGCCTCATCACAGGAGGAGAAAGGGAAAAGAAAAAAGAAAGAGGGAGAGGGAATCAAATTGGCTCCAAGCCAAAGGCCAGATGGAACAACTCTGTCTTACAGGCCCTGCGGAAAGAAATCAAATCCTGCAGGGCCCTGGTCTCATGAGGCAGAGCGTTCCACCGGGCCGGAGCCACTGTTGAAAAAGCCCTGGTTCTGGTTGAAGCTAATCTAACTTCCTTAGGGCCCGGGACCACTAGGGTGTTGCTATTTATGGACCTTGAGGCTCTCCGTGGGGCATACCGGGAGAGGCGGTCCCGTAGGTACGAGGGTCCTAGGCTGATTTAAGAACGGGGTTAGCCACTAGTTTTCCCAAAGGCTGCTTTGAGGATGGTGGGGGAGGGTAATACAGAGCTTTGGATCATGCCCACTCCCACCTCACAATGGGTGTTTGTATCCCAGAAATTCTAATGCCCACATCTGTTTGCCGCTGGATCGACTTGGATGGTATGTCATTTATCAGTTTTGTTAAGCTTATATTCTGCCTTTCCTCCAAAGAGCTCAGCACAATATACCGTACATTTTATTCATTTCACAACTTACTGCATAAAAATTATATACCTCTTGATTGTAAAAAATAAAATAAAACGCAGGGCTTTCCCCCTCTTTTTAAATCATGACAACCTGGTGAAATAACCTGAGAAATAGTGTAGGCTCGAGGTCACCCAGTGAGCTTCATTTGAGTGGGCATATAGCTGCTCCATCACAACACAGACTGATCATCTTTAACATTTGGAGGGAAGGAAGCAATAGCAGACATGACAACATCAGTGGGTGCCAGACAGCAGACCCTCCAAAGGTCCCTATTTTCCAGGGACAGTCCCGGATTTACAGAAGCTGTCCCGGTTTCTGATTTGATTCCAGAATGTCCCGCTTTTCCTTAAGATGTTTCTATTTCCATCAGAAAAATGTTGGAGGGTATGGAGTTATGTGACCCCCGAGCCAAGGAGATAAGTAACCATACAACCTTTAGAAGACGTCTGAGGCAGCTCTGTAGTTTTAAAATGTTTAATGTTTTATTATGTTTCTATATATGTCAGAAGCTGCCCAGAGTGGCTGGGACAACCTAGTCAAATAGGCAGGGTGTAAATAATAAAAGTATTATTGTTGTTGTTTTAAAAATTTAGAGACAGTGTGAGTGCTTTCAAGCCTCATTATCAATGGGAAAGTTTCCCAGTATGGAAAGGCATAGCCTGTTTTTTTAAAAATTGATTTACTTGCTGCACTTATATTCCAGCTTCCTTCTGAAAGTGGCCTGCTGGGCTCCCCCCCCCCCCCACATAAACATTACATCCTCACAACACCCCGTGAGGTAGGTCAGCCTGAATGATAGTTACAGGTCCAGGGCCACCCACTGAGTTCCATGGTTGAATAGGGACTTGAACCCGAGTTTCTCATCTTCTGCTTCCACTGGCAGCAACCCGGCAACGGAGCTATTTGTGGCCGTTAATTGGGCCATGATTGCCCCCGACACAATTGCTTTCTGTTCTCTGCACTTCCAGTGACCACGGAACGCATCATGTCTTCTACGAAGCCAGAACCGTCTGCTACGTCTTCAGAGACCTCTGACGAAAGTCTTGAGGATGAGGTAGTTGTGTATTCAAGCTCTTTTGCATACCATAGGTGGTATCTAACAAAAACAGTTTTTAGCTATGTGATGTAACTTTCCCAACCTTTCCCCCAACTCTCCAAAGCAGGGAATTAGATGGCACAGCTTAAAGTTGTATTAGAACAAGTGTTTAGATGAATACTCCCCACTTTGTTCTTTTCTTCTTCCAGTTTTTTTTGCTGGGCTACACTCCTTTTTGCTATCTTATTCTCTCCTCAGATTACCCATCTCTCCAGGTTTTGCAATGCCATCTCAATCCCCCAAAGGTGCAAAAATAAAGGTGTTATTTTGTTTTTGAAAGAACCTCATACAAAATGCATGTTTAAAAGGGAGAATGCACCGAAAAAAATGTGTGTTATACAAGCAAAGTATGTACAAAATGTGTGATAGTTTACATGTGGGTTTTCGGGGGCATTATTCTGGAAAGTCTAGAAAGACATGATGGAATGGCTCTATGATGGAGCATCAGGAAAAGTGACTGGTCCGTCCATCCCTCACTTGCAACGGAATCAAAGAACCACAGTATGAAAGGCAGGGCACTGGGAGAATCTCAGCAGATCTCAGAGCATAAACTTGATCTAAACTAGTGTATTTTAAGTTGTTTTGTCTTTGTTTTAAGTGCTATTGTTTTTTGGAAGTCACTTTGAGTTTCATTTTTGAAAAGCAAGTGACTAATTAATATAACAAATGTTTAAAATAAAATTATAAAGTCCACCCAAACACGGAGGGTTGCTAACTTCGGGTTATAGTATTGACTTGTATTACAAATCGTGGCCTCTGCTTCTTTTGTGATATGCTATTGTTTATTGGTACTGCTGTAGTGTGGACGTGTTGTTTTGTTTGAACTGTGCTCTGAATGGTTTATTTATTTATTTATTTATTTATTGTACAACTGATGGCTTAAATAACAAAGATCTGGCTTTGGTTTCCATGTCAGAATGTCTTGAAGAGAGTTGGCAGCCTCCCCTTGGTGTGCTCTGTTTGCGACTTAGTTTCTTCAAACTACACCTCCATCAAGAGAAAGAGCTCCTACCTTCAGACAGTGTGTGGCGGGGCAGAGAAAGGCATGAAGACCATCACTGGAGCTGCCATCAACAAGGCACAGCCACTTCTGACTACATTTGAACCTCAGAGTGAGTAAAACTGAGGCAGAGGGCTAAATGCAACAAGCTAGAATTAGCTGAAGAGATGGCAATGAGCATTTATTGACAAGCTAGCCCACAATCGCTGAAATATACTCAGAGTCCTGTAGGGATTTCATGCTCTTTATTTCAGCTTGTAAAACAGTGATTTTATTGCCCCCCCCAAAAAAAACCTCAGGCTTTTATATACATTATTTACACAATTAGTCCCATCTGATTGGCTGATTCTGCTTCCCTCCTGGAGCCTGATTGGTCTTTTCCTGCAGGCCAATCAGTTGTTGCATTCTAGGATCCTACTTGCCTATTGTTCCAGGATCCAAGCTTAGTACAGTCATACCTCATGTTACGTCCGCTTCATGTTATGTTCTTTCAGGTTACGTCCTGTGGCGACCCGGAAGTACCGGAAAGGGTTACTTCTGGGTTTCGCCTCTCACGCATGCGCAGAAGCGCAAAATGACGTCATGTGCATCTGCAGAAGCGGCGAATCGCAACCCGCGCGTGTGCAAACACGCCGCTGCGGGTTGCGCTCTTTTCATGTTGCAAATGGTCCTCCGGAACGGATCCAGTTCGCAGCCAGAGGTACCACTGTACGTAACAATCGCCCTCAAATTGCCACTGCTATCAACACACACCACAATCTATTCAAGCTTCTCTGGGTTTAGGAATCCTTCCTACATTGGAAAGGAGGTCTAGCAGAGTGCAGGAACTTTCTGGAACCCTGTAAACGGATTCTAGTCAGTGGCGAAGCGTGGCTCCAAGATGCCTGGGGTGGGAGGGGGCGGGGCAAGCAGCAGAGAACAAAGGCAGCGTGCAACCAACCCCCACCGCTGCTGGAGCAACCCCAGCCCTGAGCGGAGGCCGTTGTGCCCTTCTGGCACCCACCTCCTCCCCAGATCTGAGCCTTGCAAGGCTGCTCAGTGTGGGGACACGGGGTAAACTAAAGTCACCGGTTGCTTTGCTTGTGCTTTGAAAGACACTCACCGCTGCAGGGGGCCTGTTAGTGCGTGTTGTGTTTTCCTGCAGAAGGTTCCGCTTTCAAGGTCGCCCCTGCCCCCACATCTCCAGTGGGATGGAGTCAGGATTCGCCCCCCCCCCATGGCTCCCCAAACCGGTGCCAGCCAGTTCAGGATGGTAGTGCCGGGAGGCGGGCGCACCCCCTCATTGATGATACCCGGGGCGGCCCGCACCCCCCTTCCTACGCCACTGATTCGAGTAAGTCCCTGTTCTACTTTGCTCAGTAGTCCACCAAGAAAAAACAGGAGGATCTGCTGCTGAATTTGGTTGTTACAGACAGAAATCCAAAACTGACCAGCCAAATAATCACACCAGTGGTGGAAAAAGTAAAGGTTTGTTCAGACAGCAGTAAGAAATTACAGGGGAATCAAATTCAAAATCCCGTCCAAAGTTGTGTTGGGTAATTTCTTCCAGGTTAGAAATGCAGTTGATGTTTTCCTGATTTCCTGAATCAGAAACATAGGCCTGCCCTCAGTATCTTGGCTATTTAACTGTGTGCTGTTAGATTAATTGATTTATTGCCGTTGTTATTGTTGCAATCTTGGAGGGATGTGAGATTCCAGGGGTTCCAGGCACTGAGTCAAGGTTCATGTTTCCTTTGGGATGAGGGACAGCGGAGATTGTGCTTTTAAAGAGCGGGTTTTCATGGGGAAAGCTCTGGAGCAAAAAAAGAAAAAAAGGATGCTCAGACACTGAGCTTTAAAGTGTGGACCATGCCTGGAAAGCACGAACGAAAGGTAAGTGTGGATAAGTCCATAGAAAAATAAATGGACATTGGAAAAATGAGGGACTGAGAGAAAGAACAATTGATAGCTTTTCACCCTACCAGTATTTTGTAACCATTGCCAAAGTTCCTTGTGTGATTACTTTGTGTAATATTTTTGTTATAAGTAAGTAAGTGAAAGCCAGTGTGGTGTAGTGGTTAAGAGCGGTGGACTCATAATCTGGCGAACTGGGTTCGATTCCCCGCTCCTCCACATGCAGCTGCTGGGTGACCTTGGGCTAGTCACACTTCTCTGAAGTCTCTCAGCCCCACTCACCTCACAGAGTGTTTGTTGTGGGGGAGGAAGGGAGAGGAGATTGTAAGCCACTTTGAGACTCCTTAGGGTAGTGATAAAGTGGGATATCAAATCCAAATCCAAAGTAATTCAAAGCTCAGTTGTTTTGGTGAGACTGAAAGGGACTCATGACAGCAACCATAATAAAAACCAAAGTGTCTTCCTCTCTCTGTCTCTCTTAGTTGCAACAGCAAACAGGTTTGCCTGTCGGGGCTTAGATACAGTGGAAGAGAAGATGCCCATCCTTCAACAGACGGCTGATCAGGTGAGCAGTTGTCTGCCTCCCAGAAGATTGCAAACATTTATTTGGGTCATTTCGAATAAGTCTCTGGACACTTTGCAACATCTTAAAAACATCACAAATAGAGGTGAAGGATGCCACAAATGACCCACAGTTCAAAGCAGCCCAAAACCAAGAGAAAAGATGGTCCTCTTGGAACACAGAGGGCAGATACATTGGACAAAAGATATTGGTCAAAATATAGATATGGAAGCATAGGAAAGACTGTGGAATACAGACATAAAATTTACAGCATGTTATTGGTCTAACAGAAAATTATATGAAAATGATATAATTTTATGATATAACACCGAGTAAATTGGCAAAAATGTATAAATCCAAATCAAATAAGTGTTGGAAATGTAAAGAGAAAGAAGGTTCTTTTTATCATATGTGGTGGTCTTGTAGTAAGGTTAAAGCTTACTGGGAAATGGTGTTTAAAATAACGTTTGGAAAAAAGCAAACCCAGAAGCTTTCCTTTTGGGAATTATAGGGACAGAACTATCCACACTGTCTAGAAATTTATTCATGTATGCTACTACAGTGGCAAGAATGTTAATCGCCCAAAAATGGAAAGAGGTCCCAACAAAGAAGAATGGATACAAAGCTTATGGAATATGCAGAAATGGCAAAACCTAGCAGAAAAATAAGAAATCAAGATAACAAACTTTGTTTAAAAGAATGGAAATGGTTTACAGAATATTTACAAATAAACTATAAACAGATAAGAACATTGGCAGGATTATTGTAATAACCTGCAGTTTTATAAGTGTATATATATATAAAGAGGGATGTGGGTGGCGCTGTGGGTTAAACCACAGAGCCTAGGACTTGCCGATCGGAAGGTCGGCGGTTCGAATCCCCACGACGGGGTGAGCTCCTGTTGCTCGGTCCCTGCTCCTGCCAACCTAGCAGTTCGAAAGCACGTCAAAGTGCAAGTAGATAAATAGGTACCGCTCCGGCGGGAAGGTAAACGGCGTTTCCGTGTGCTGCTCTGGTTTGCCAGAAGCGGCTTAGTCATGCTGGCCACATGACCTGGAAGCTATACGCCAGCTCCCTTGGCCAATAAAGCGAGATGAGCGCCGCAACCCCAGAGTCAGCCACGACTGGACCTAATGGTCAAGGGTCCCTGTACCTTATATATCTAAAGTAGATGAATAAATGAGAAAATTAAGTTAATTTGGATATGCAGATAATATTAAAAATAAATTTAAGGAACTGGAGAAAGAGGAGGAAGGAAGCCAAGTTTTGAAATACTAAAATGATCATAAAATTGTTGAAATGCATAAAATTGAAAATCATAAATAATTTTTAAATTAAATAATAAAAAAACCACAGAGGTAAACTCAGGTCGCATCCCATGCACCATAAATTTAGAGCACATGTCTTTCTTGCAAAGAAGCCAGGGCACTGCAGTTTGCCCCTCACAGAGCTACAATTCACAGTACCCAAGACAAAAGCTAGTTTCCAATATTCCTACCAGGTCCTGTCTTCTGACTCTTGCAGGTTGTCTCTGGTACGAAGGAGATTATGTCTTCTAAAGTCACAGGTGCAAAGAGCGCCATGACCCGCAGGCTATCAGGGATGGTTGACATGACCAGAGATGCTGTCCAGGGTAGCGTGAGGACCACAACGTCCATGGTGACTGGGAGTATGAGCCTGTTGATGGGGACGAGAGTTGGCCAGATGGCCAGGACCAGCGTGGACACCATGCTGGGCAGGTCCCATGCATTTATAGATCACTATCTCCTGGTTGCCGATGAAGATATGAGTAAGGGCTCCTTAGAGTGTTTTCCCCCTACCTGTACAGTACAGAGTGGTTTTTTATCTTAATGATATGTGCAGACCTGGGGTGGGAGAACCCTTTCAGTTCAAGTGCCACATTCCTTTCTGGGCAAATTCTGGTGGTCACATGCCCGGGGGGGGGGCAAAGTACCCCTTTGGACAGTAGACTAGTTCCTACACGTACCCAGCTTTTTTTCAGCCAGAGCGCAGTTTCGGCATCTCTCAGGTGGGCACCATTCTGGCCCCCGCTTCTTGCCTTTATGTACTTCCGCGAAGCCCCAAACAAACATTTCAAGTCAAAATGGAAGCTGGCCAGTGTGTTCGAGTCTACACTTTTTAAGATCTATGACTCTGTAGTTTTTAGCGGTGAATGCTGCTGTTGTCAAACAGCTGTTCAGGGCTGCCCCAGGTTGCCCGGTGACTTACAATTTCATGGTGAGTTCTGGCACCAATTTTTCTTGATAAAAAGCGCTGCACGCACCCCTCTATATCCAGGCAAGCAAAAGGCAATACAAGACCTCAAGGACGCATTCTGCACAGGCAAACAAGGCCAGTGAGGGGTGTGGCTTGGGGGAGAGGATGTGTGGCATGAGGATAGCCCTGAGGGCCACATAGAGAGGATTGGAGGGCCATATTTATCCCCAAGCCTGAGATTCCATGCTCCTGGTTTAGACAAATCATTAATGTCTAAGGCTGGGTCAGCCCCATGAGCATCTTTCCACAACTTTATGTTCCTCTAGTGTTGGGTTTTTTTAAAAACACACATACACAAATGTGTACACATGCTCCATTAACTGTGAAGCCTCTACCACTTAGATGTGCCAAATTTATTATGGAGCCTGACCACTCACGAGGGGGGTCAGGGTTTGTGAAAATATTAGGCCCTAGATGAAATGACCCCTCCCCAGCTCACTGTAGGTAGCAAAATGGGAATAGAGATGTCAGAAATTTTGCAAAGGGGGCAGGCAATGTGGTGAAATGAGGGGCATATTGGAGGGGGGCAGCCTTCCCAAAGTCATCTTGAAAGCATGAAATAGCATAATTCCCAGGACATCTCTGCAGGTGTGGGGAGGAAATGGCAGCCAGACTAACTGGCAGGTCCCAGAGATTTTCTGGGGAGTGGTGACTGGGGAAAGTAAGGCATTTCACCCTCTTTCACCCCCACGCACGTTTTCAACTGCAGTGGGGAAAACACATACGACTGGGCGGTATTCTGCTAAGTTTTACTCAGAGTAGACCCACAGAAATCAATGGACCCACCACGGCTACATGAAAAGCTTTAAACAATGGCTCCACCATTGGGGCGTAAAATGTGATTACAATTTAACTTATAAAATGGTGCCCAAGAATGCCAACATGGTTAATCCCCGGCGTAGAGAAACATTGTGTACATGGCAACTGGCTCATGGAGATGTCTCCTGGCCATGGATCCCAACACCTTGCAAAAATAACTGGGGCCACCTCGAACACGGGGTTCCTGCAATCTCCTGCTGCAACCTTCTGTCTCCCTTTACGATCACACAGTGATGTTTCTTTTGTTTCAGATGAGACTCGGACATGTTCTAAATGTGGATTGGGGGATTCTGGGGAGGAAGTGCAGGCACAGATCAGGTGCGAAGGGTACATGGTCTGCTTGCTTTCCTTGCTGAACAAATTCCAACACTATGCTTCGATGCAGTCTCAGCGCCGCATCAGCCACACGTGCCAGAGCCTCCAAAAGGTCACGGAAAACTGCTATGCGGTAAGAGCATTCTTTCCCCTTCCTATGTCGCTCTGGGCTGGGAGGAAACAATCACATCTCCTTTGAAAACAAAAAGTTTCAGTGAGGCTGAAATATTTCTGAGATTAGCCCCAAGGATGGTGTATGTGTGAGAGAGGGCAGGGGAAGGGGGGGCAACTGTGTCATCTGGGTCAAATTCTACACCAGAACTTTCCAAACTTTTCGTATTCGTGACACACTTTTTAGATATGCATCATTTAGTGACACAGTAATTCAGTTTACTAGCAAACCAGAGGTTTAACTAAAGGAAGGTCAAAGGTAAAGGACCCCTGTACTGTTAAGTCCAGTCAAAGGCGACTATGGCGTTGTGGCGTTGAACTTGCTTTCGGGCCGAGGGAGCCAGTGTCTGTCCACCGACAGCTTTCCAGGTCATGTGGCCAGCATGACTAAACCGCTTCTGGCACAATGGAACACCGTGATAGAAACCAGAGCACACGGAAAGTCTGTTTACCTTCCCGCTGCAGTGGTACCTATTTATCTACTTGCACTGGTATGATTTCAAACTGCTAGGTTGACAGGAGCTGAGACAGAGCAACAGGCGCTCACCCTGTTGGGTGGACTCGAACTGCCAACCTTCTGATCAGCAAGCCCAAGAGGCTCAGTGGTTTAGACCACAGCACCACCCATGTCCAGAGGTTAAACTAACCCCTTTCTAGCCATGGGAAGAGCATGGGGAGCGTTCACACGACACACCTACACACGGCAGCTAACACAGTAATGTTTGGAAAGCTCTGGTTTATACATACACACACGCTGCAGAATGAGAAGTACACTGCCATGTAAGGAGTGAGAGGAGAGCAGAAGACCATTGAGTCCACAAACTAAAATAAATGCATGCGAAAGGGAATTTATGCTCCAAATTTAAACAGCACTAAATGCAAGCTGTGCTGGGGAGGGGTGACCAGGACACTAACAGTGCACTCCTGATTTCCCTACTGCAAGTGTGCACCTTGTACTTGGCACTGTTCGGATTCAGTGGATTTCCGGGTGGATCTGACCCAGTCTGGCTTGCGTTTGGCACCCAAAATGCACATGCTGGCCAGCTCCTGGGTGCGTCGTCAGCATGATCCACAGAGTTCAGCAAGTCCACAGCACAAAGTTAAGTGTGACCACCTCCCTGTAAGCTGATCCGCAGTAAAAAAGCATTAGGAGCAGGGGCTGGTGGAAAAGTTGGCAACTTCATCCTTGCATTACGTCACATCCGCTGTGTCAAAATCTCTCTTTAAGTGTGGACAGGCCATAGCTCAGTAGCAGGAGAAATGCTTTGCATGCAGAAGGTTGCAGGTTTGAGTCCTGGCATCTTGAGATAAGGCTAGCAAAGACTCCTGCCTGAAGCTCTAGAGAGCCAGTGCCAGCCAGTGCACAGCTATTACCTGTTTTTTTTTAAAAAAATATTACATTTATGTAACACCGTTTTTCAAGGTGGTGCACGTGGGTCTTCCTTTTCCCATTTTATCCTCACAACAACCCTGTCAGGCAGGTTGACTGGCCCAAGGTCACCCAGTGAGCTTCGTGACTGAGTGGGGAATAATAGAAGCCCCATCTCCCAGGTCTTTGTTCAACACGCTAGAATTGTGGAATCTTAGAGCTGGAAGGGATCCCGAGGGTCATCTAGTCCAACCCAGACCTTTGATCATCTTTGGTTGCCCTCCTCTGCACACTTTCCAGCTTGTCAGTATCCTTCTTAAATTGTGGTGCCAGGAATTGGACACAGTACTCCCTTCAGCGGTAGTCTAATCCAGCCTTTCTCAACCTTGGGTCCCCAGATGTTGCGCAACAATTCTCATCATCCCTGATGCAGCACTGGTCCTGCTAGCTAGGGATGATGGGAGTTGTAGTCCAACAACCCAAGGTTGAGAGAGGCTGCTCTAAGCACTCCACCACACTAGGTGGACCAAAGGTCATGACCTGGAATAAGTCATCTCCCTGTGTTGTTTTTTTCTAAAAAATTATATTCCCCAATGGATGTCTGCATTTCAGGAATGGAAGGCTTGGCTGGCCGCCTTGTACTATACAGTCACACTCCCGCTGAGGACCATCTACCTGATCATCCTCTTCAGTGTGGAAGAATTATCCTCCCAGTTTCACGAGAATGTCCCCCAGGCCTCTTACGCCCTCGAGGAACTCAAGATGGCTCTCTCCACCCTAGAATGCCTGCAGGATCTCTGCCGAAGAATCTTCACCCGAGTGTGGGAGAGAATGTCTGAGGAGGAGAACCTGAACGCGCTTTTGAACTACGTGTCGCAGTCCCTGCCCTTTTGCTTCTTCACAAACAGCTGCAGATGCAAGACCTGCCCTGGCAGCGCCATAAGGGCCCTCAAGATCACGCGGAGCGGGCAGGCGTCTCGAGGCACCTTTTCTGGGCAGCAGGAATCCAGGACCAGCTTCCTGGCAGCAGCAACCCCAACCACCTGAGCCCTCTGGCTCTTGTTCACCTGTAGAAGGCAGAGGAGGAAAGTGTGCAATGTGGACTTGAGGGCATTTTTAAAGGGCTTGGTTCTTAGATTAAATCCTAGGCACAACAGCAGCCTGGCAGTAAATGAGTGAATTAGACCTTAGTGTGCATGTGTGTTTTTCTCGTGTCTCGGAAAGCCAAGGAAACTCACTCTCTCTCTCCAGGCTGAGGGAAGATGAAGGGAATCGAAGCAGAAGTCCTTGTTCTAGGATCCCAAAAGACCCGGTTACGTTGTCAAGCTAAAAATATGCGGTATGCATGTCCCAGTCCACCTCCTTCCCAAGTCATGGGATAGCTCAGTGAGAGGGCTCATGCTTAGCATTATACGGGCTGCAGAATATCCTGTAGGAAAGATTTCTATATCAGGCAGCTGTCCAACATTCCTTTAAGGGTGGGGAGCTGCTTCTGAACATCCTTCTCTGTCAAAGAACTTCCAGAGGTTAGGCTGCAGCCCATCACTCTGGACCGTTGGTTGAGGCTGTCGGGAGTCCAAAAACACCGGGAGCTTCCCCAGCCTCGTCTTATACTATTTTGGTAACACCTGAAGATTGGGGACCACATGGCGAGGACTCTGCACCGTCACATTTTCCTATAACCCTGTAGTCCCAGTTCTTTGGAAGGGTAGCATGAGCACCCTCAAAAGTGGGACAGGGAAGCTGTGACCTTCTCAAGGTTGTTGGAGCGGCCGCCGAGACCACATAACACCGCTCTTGAAAGACCTACATTGGCTCCCAGTACGTTTCCAAGCACAATTCAAAGTGTTGGTGCTGACCTTTAAAGCCCTAAACGGCCTCGGCCCACTATACCTGAAGGAGCATCTCTATCCCCATCATTCTACCCGGACACTGAGGTCCAGCGCCGAGGGCCTTCTGGTGGTTCCCTCACTGCAAGAAGCCAAATTACAGGGAACCAGGCAAAGGGCCTTCTCGGTAGTGGCACCCGCCCTGTGGAACGCCCTCCCATCAGATGTCAAAGAGAACAACTACTACCAGACTTTTAGAAGAAATCTGAAGGCAGCCCTGTTTAGGGAAGCTTTTAATGTTTGATGCATTACTGTATTTTAATATTTTGTTGGAAGCCACCCAGAGTGGCTGGGGAAGCCCAGCCAGATGGGCGGGGTATAAATAATAAATTATTATTATTATTATTACTCCCATCATGCCTAACCACTGGCCACGCTGGCTGGGGCTGATGGGAGTTGGAGTCTAATGAGCCGCAGCTTCCCTAGCCCTGCCCTAAAAGTATCATCCGGTGGGAGGGGAGCAGAGGTGGAGCGGTCCAGGGGGTCCAAAACTTATTGCAGCAGCATCCCTGTCTCCAGGGCCCTAGAGACACACCCCGTCAGCACGAAAGGAGAGCTTTTTTGCCACTGCATGCACCTAGGCTAAGCATTTAGGAACACTGAAAACACAAGGCGCTTCCATTTCAATAGACCTATGTGTAAGTTCTGTTTCTTCCCTTCACAACTCAAGCCACTCCAAAAGAAGGTATTGGGGAACTCCAAATGATCTGCCCATGTATGTGCCCAGATCTAGCTGAAAGGCAACACATGGAGATCTTCATTGATCATTGCAATGCACTCATTATTATTATTATTATTATTGCAGAAGTTTATCATACAACCTTGCACAATCTTAGAAGTAGTGTGGCTGTGGCTCCCATGGCGGGACCCTGTACTTCTGGATTTCCTGCTGCACTACTAGCAAGGAGAAGAGGCTGTTCCCCTTGTTCATATTAGCTGTTGATGGGAATATCTATTCACGAAGTAGCAAAAGAGTCGAGTTGAATTTGGTGGGCATATCCTTGTCTGCTTCCTGATGTCAGGGGTGAAGGGCAACATTCCCTTTGGGGCAGGCTTCCGAGGGCCATAGGCACAAATGGTTGAAGCGACACATGTAAATGTTGCTTTCTAGAGTAACCCATGGCATTACCTATACATACTTGCACACCTATCTCTGTTCAAAGACACTTTCCAGTCAGGCCAAAACTACTCAGGAAAGGGTGCAAAGTTGGACTGGTGGCAGGTGTGGCCTAGGAAGTCTCAAGGGCCAGATAGAGGCCAGGAGGGCCATATTTGGCCCTCACATCTGAGGTTACCTGCCAGTGCCTTATGTACTAACTCCCTGCAGGCAGAAAGCCTGTGGGGTGTAGATAAAGTACTATGATGCAGCAAAAAAACTGCTAGCACATTTTTTGCAAAGCTAAGCAGGGTTCAGCATGGTTTCAAATCGGATGGGGGACCCATTGCAGGAGAAGGTTTGCCTGGACGACCCTCAGGGTCCCTTGCAAGTCTACAAGTCTATGATTCTAGGGCTTAACCGGATGGGTGTGGGTTCAAATCCTCACCTAGCAATGAATGCACAACCAGTCAAAGCCGCAGATTTGCCACCACATTCTGACGGAATATGTGTGGACTCCCTTTGTTAGTGACCTTGGTGGGAGGGTAAAGGAAAAAAGATACAATAATAAAGAGAGGCACGTTTACTGCCCTGGGCTCCTCAAAGGCAGATTAAGAAATCCCGGCGCTTCCTTATAGCAACCAGATAAAGGCCAAGTCTATTTTAAAGTCTGCATGTTCGCACTTTCCTCCAGACAGCTTCCCATTCTCCTAAACCCGCTTCTTCCATTGCAATGGAAACTTTTTTTCGGAGCGGGGGGGGCGGCGGTCATAGTATACAGAACAAATCAGGCGTTTGCATGGATCCTGTCCGGACCGCGCCAGCGCCACGCGCTTAAGCAGTGAGTCTCCGGTCCGGCCCGCCCTCCGCTCAGATACGCGCCGCGCTTCCGCGCTCTCCTGCCGAGCGGGGGCGGAGCCAGGCTGGTCACGGGGAAGAGAGACCCGCACAGCTGCGGCTTGTTCCCGGGGGAAGGAAGAGGCTCCCAGGGCGAGAGTCATGGCTGCGTTCGTGGAGCTGAGCACCAAGGCGAGGATGCCCCTCTTCGGGCTGGGCACTTGGCAGGTACTGGGGGGCAAAGCGGGCGCAGGGACCACCCGGCTGCAGCTGCTGCTTTTGCATTTTGCCCTTTGCAGCGCGGCGCCTTCAAAGCTGCCCGGGCTGCAGGCGGGAGTTGCGCGCCTGGCTGCTTTTAAGCCTTTCCTCCATTTATTTCTTTTCCTTGCGCAGCTGGAGGGAGAGGGAGACCCGCTTGCTCGGCGGAGCGCTTAGCCGCCGTGCCTTTCCGCACGTTTGCTCCGCGCAGCCGGGAAAGGAGGTCGGCCTTGCAGCGCTTTGGAGCGACTTCTATGCAACTCTTTCCCTTCTCTGCTTTTTATTGCCTATATTCAGCTCGATTCGGGTAATATAAGGTTCATCCAAAACCGGGTGCGTTTCCAGGACGAACGTTTCCTTTAAATTGTGCTGCTTCGGCCCGAAAAAAACGCACAAGCCTCGTTCTCACGTGCAGATGGTTTTCTCGGAGTGCCTGCACGTGAGAACTCCGCGGCGCTTGAGAGTCATCAAAGCAGCTGCAGGTCCGATTTTGCTTATTAGCAATTGAGAGGCGTGTTCTCCCCAAAGTTGCCTTGGTTCCATTTTTAAGCAGTCCAAGGCAGTGGTTGTCGCCATTATCTTATGACTTGCGCGTCCAGGGAGTTTTATTCTGCGCCGTGATATCGAAAGTTTTTTTAGTTTTTATTATTATTATCTTGAATCAGCTGGCAGCCAGTTTCATTGGATGGACAGGAGACCTAGTATAGGAGAGGGGGAGAGAAGAAAATCGTACTTTGTGCATGCACGTTCACATATGCCTGCCTGCTGCTCTCAGCGATAATTTGCATTTGTGGATGGGGCCGTTGCCAGCATCCTCACACATAGAACTCGTTTCCTCTTGTTGCCTTGTAGCCCCTCAGTTCCAAGTGGTTCTCAGTTGTCAGTTCAGACGTTTTGCTGCCAGACATCACCTCTGAAGTGTCTTGCAGGACCTGGTGACTTGCGTGTGTGAATGGCCAGTGCAGAATTCATATCAGAGAGAGCGGTTTCCTTTCTCCTCTCGTCAACTCGCCCAAAAGCTTTTCAGAGGAGTCAGTTCCCATGCAGTTTCCAGTCTTCCAAGTTCATAGTCATCAAGTGAGGTACAAAAGCATCTCTTGTAGTTGCAATGACCCCAAATGAACAGTAAGCCCATTAGGACGGCCTCTCAGTTTCCAGTTTAGTGGCAGAATTTGTAAGCCAAGGCAGTTCACTCCTGGCTTTACTCTTCTCGAACATTCATCAGCGATGTGGAATTCCTGGCAAATTTTAAACTGGAAAATGTTCCTGCACCCATTTTCCAATTCAAAACAATTTTCCTCTGCGGACATTGCAGTTGGCATGAGAATTCCCCCCCCCCCCAGTGTTCTAGATCGTGATCCAGTGTAGCCCGCTTATTATATTAGTAGACAAATCCTAAATATGCTTAGTATTTGTGGTAAAAAGCATTTGATTGAAATTTTAAAATGTTTAAAATTTCTGAGGGTTTTGAATATTGAGGTTCAATTTATGTTTCGAATTTCTTTACATTGTATAATTTCTGGCATTGTAAGCCGCTTTGCAACCTAGACAGTGAAAAGCAGGTTATAATTGTTTATAGTGTCTGTGTGTGTGTGTGTGTGTGTGTGTGTGTTTAAAAAAGCTAAATGCTTTGAAGCTGCCAAGCTTGGCTAACATTGGGTTTGCAGTTGGCATCCATCTATTGTACTAATTAATTTACGAAAAAGTAAAGCGCTAGTAAATTATCCGTGTCTCATTCATACACACAGCAGACTTTGCTCATTGTTGCTGCAGAGGAATTCATGGGTAGAAATGGCAAAGAAGCAGATTTTGGTTAAACATGAGGAGCCCTGTTCCTAAGGGTAATAAGAGGTGTTCAGCAGTAGACTAGCCTGCTTTGGGAAATACCTTTGAACAGAGGCTGGTCGGTGTTTGAACAGAGGCTGGCCGGCCATCTGTCAGAGATGCTGTAATTGCATCATATGTTGAACAGCGAGTTGGATAACAACCCCCAGATCCCTATCAAAACTACAGTGACCTAGCATAGGTCAGCGGTAGAGCTTCTGTCTTGCATGCAGAAGGTCCCAGGTTCAATCCCCGGCAGCTCCAGGTCGGACTGGGAGAGATTCCCTGCCTGAAACCCTGGAGAGCTGCTGCCAGCCAGTGTGGACAATATTGAGCTAGGTGGACCAATGGGTCTGGCTCGGTATAAGGAAACTGCCTTATGCTGCTGTTGTTCTTGGCATCCATCTGTCTTGGGAGACAGTGGAGGAGTTTACCTTTGGGGGTGATGTCAAACTGTTGCAGCGCCTGCTTCCAGTTGTGCTTCTGCAGATGCACCAGGGCGTCTGTGCTCCTCCCAGCCGTCATTCCTCCTCTGGTCACTGCTGTGGATACACAACCTTGACCGTCTGTCTCCAGGCAGTCTGAGGTCGTCAGCGGGGTTGATGTTGCCAGCCTTCATGTCACAACTGCAGACATATTTGTTACACAGAGTTGGTCTGCCAACGGGCCTGGTGCCTGAAGCCAGCTCCCCGTACAGCACGTCCTTGGGGATCCTGCCTTTATCCATTTGGTGGACATGACCAAGCCAGAGTAGACTTTGTTGAGACAGGAATGCAAACACACTGGGAATGTGGGCTTGGGAGAACACATCTTGGTTTAAGACTGTGCTGCCATGTGAGGCCCCAAACCTTCCTGACACAGCGCATGTGGAAGGTGTTGAGGTGTCTCTCCTGTCAGTCGCTCCTGTCGGCCTTGGTCCAGTATACCTGAAGGAGCATCTCCAGCCCCATTGTTCTGCCCAGACGCTGAGGTCCAGCGCTGAGGGCCTTCTGGCAGTTCCCCCACTGCAAGAAGCCAAGTTACAGGGAACCAGGCAGAGGGCCTTCTCGGCAGTGGCACCCACCCTGTGGAACGCCCTCCCACCAGATGTCAAAGAGAAAAACAACTACCAGACTTTTAGAAGACATCTGAAGGCAGCCCTGTTTAGGGAAGCTTTTAATGTTTAATAGGTTATTGTATTTTAATATTCTGTTGGAAGCTGCCCAGAGTGGCTGAGGAAACCCAGCCAGCTGGGCGGGGTATAAATAATAAATTATTATTATTATTATTATTAGTTGTCAGTTGACCACGACACATTTCCATAATGCAGTGTGCACAACACGCAAGACCATCTTGGTCAGGGGTCAGCAAACCTCTTCAGCAGGGGGCCAGTCCACTGTCCCTCAGACCTTGTGGGGGGCCGGACTATATTTTGAAAAAAATATGAATGACTTCCTATGCCCCACAAATAACCCAGAGATGCATTTTAAATAAAAGGACACATTCTACTCATGTAAAAACACGCTGATTTCCGGATCGTCCGTGGGCCGGATTTAGAAGGGGATTGGGCCGGATCCGGCCCCCGGGCCTTAGTTTGCCTACCCATGATCTTGGTACTGGGAGTTAGCATCACGTTTTCCCATACCCTTTTGGAGAGGCGAGCCATTGAAGTAGCTGCATTGCCAATATGCTTGTCCAGCTCAGCGTCAAGGGAACTGATTATGGTGAAACTCAGACAAAACAGTTGATAAGTCTCTGTAGAGTGTCCCTGGAGTGCCCTGTCAAGGCTGCATCGCCTGCAAACAACACCTCTCAATTTATAGTTCGTAGAGAATTCGTAGTTAGAATCATCCGGTTTTTGGAAGCCTAAGAGTTGTTTCACGGTAAGCATCACAAGTTTCTTTCCCAAGGGCCTTGTTGTAGAAGCGCAGCCAAGAGGAAAATGTTGCCTTTCTCATTCTGTTTGTTCAGCCTCATAAAAGTAATGGAAACAATTTTAGAAATATAAAGACACGTTTCTGCCTCCTGCTGTCATAAGGCAGCCTGAAATTCCTCGGCCTCCCAAGACCCCCAACGCAACATCCTCTCCCCATTTTTCATCTTTTATTAAGGGAATTGGCATCTTAATTCTCTTTTTTTCTACTTTTTTCTTTTTTTGCAGATTGTGAAATGAGGCAGAAAGATCTGCTTGCCCCGCAAAGCCACAAACCCTATTCAGGCATCACTTGCACCAATAATGAATAATAATAATAATAATTTTTTATTTATACCCCGCCCTTCCCCGTTCAGAAAACCGGGCTCATGGTGGCTAACAACAAATTTAAAACACTTAATTGTTGCAACATAAAACAGCATAAAATACAGTATAAAGCGTGAATAACAATAAATTCAGAATTCAAAAATCAATTTAGGGGGAAAATCCATCCAATAAACATTAGATGATCACCAGGGCTCGCTGGCTAAATTAGTCCTATTAGAGGAGACCAGGGGAGAATTAGCTGTGGGATCCCAGAGCGGGCAATCTTCATAAAAAGGGGAGGGGGAGGGAAGGAAGGGGAATAAAAGATCAGGCTAAGTTCAGATTGAAAGCCAGGCAGAATAGCTCTGTCTTACAGACCCTGCAGAAGGAAGTTAAATCCTGCAGGGCCCTGGTCTCATGGGACAGAGCATTCCACCAGGTTGGAGCCATCACTGAGAAGGCCCTGGCCCTGGTGGAGGCAGGCATGGGGGGGAATGGGGTTGTGGGGTGGTCAGGCGACTTCTCCCACCATTGCTGTTCTTAGGCATAACTTCTGAAATGAGGAGCCAGTTCTGCAGATGAAATCTTTCTGCCTGATTTAATTCCCTAAGTTCTAAATCCGATGGGTCTCATCACTGCTGTATGAGAAGCACTGGTCTAGGGGAAGTTTAGCCAGCATGGTTTTGCTGACTCAGAGTTAGCAGCAGAACTGTGGTGGATCAGCCTTCCGTGAGCAAGAGCCCTCAGAATGAGTGATGGGAATTGTAGTCCAAAACATTTGGAGGGCATCAAGCTGGGAAATGCTGATTTAGTTTGCAAGTCTTTGGAACAGGGAATCTGCCCTTTTGCCTGTGCCGCTCTGCAAAGCACCAGATGTATGGGTGGAAGTTTGGAATATTTGACCCAGATCAACATTTTGTCATATCAACTCTATACCCAGGTTAGCATAACTGAAATCCAAATGGCTCCAGCAAACAATTCCAGCATTCTGGTGTCAAATTGTTTTGCCTATTTGGAACTAGTTTTGTGCAAGCTTTTTGAAGCTAGCAACTTGGGCATCCTTTTCATTCTTCCCTGAAATTTGTTTTCCAAATTGTAAATCACATTTCTTGTTTATTGTGGGAATATATGTTTTCGGAGTGGGGGGCAGGGTAGTATGTGGTAATATTTGGTTTTTCTTTTTGTGGTAATGTTTGAAAACGTTTAATAAATCTAGTTAGCAATATATCTGACATTTATTCGAATTGGGAATGTTTGTTTGTTTTAGGGGGGGAAAGGCAATTTGGTACATTTCAAAGGCTGGCAGGGCTTGTTTTGGTGCTTGAAAAAAAAATACAAATTTTGTATTTCAGGCACCTGTTGGAAAAGTAGGCGAAGCCGTTAAATGTGCCATTGACCTCGGATACCGCCACTTCGACTGCGCCCACTACTACAAGAATGAGGATGAGATTGGGAGTGCCCTCCAGCAGAAAATCAAGGAAGGGGCTGTGAAACGGGAAGATCTCTTCGTTGTTAGCAAGGTAAGGTTGTTATTGCCTCAAGAAGATTCCTCAGAGCCCCAGCCTGAGGTGGTTGATTTTCAGTGAGAAACCATCTTGGGAGCACATTCTGGATTGGGCCCTGGCTCCTTTCCCCGCTTCAAAATAAACATGGCTGGTTTGAGTGCTTGAAAAAAAAAGCATGGCCAACAATGTATAGATTGGTCCTGAGTACAATCAACAGAATATTATTTTCCTATACTGTTATCCCTTTTGGCTACAGGTGTGTGTGTGTGTGTGTGTGTGAGAGAGAGAGAGAGAGAGAGAGAGAGAGCTGTGAGGTGCATGTCTGAATGCTTCTTCATGGTGAGAGTAAGGGAAAGGCCATCGTGAAGAAACAGACACAAGGAAAATTATCATGTCAGATATACAAGCCCTAAACTAGCTTTCTCCCAAGATTTTATATATTTATTTCATAATGTCCAAACCGCTCTGCATTCAGAGAATACTCAATCAGTGTGCAGAAATAATAATACGGAGCATAAAACAGTATTTGCATGCAAACAAACCCCAATGAGAATTGAAAAGTGCAGAAATGGACTAATTTGGGAAGTGTTGGGAGAGAGGAAAAGTTCAACTAATGTCAAAAATGTAACAGAGAGAGCTTGCTATACTTCTTAAGTGAAGAGAATTGGACTACAATTCCCATCATCCCACTAGACATTCTGGCTGACGCTTATGGGAGTTGTTGTACTCCAACAACATCTAGAGGGCCCCACGTTGGCTTTCCCTGGCCTAGGGTCTGCAACGGTTCCTTGGGTAAAGGACTCATAATCAGGGTTGAAAGTGATGTTTTCTGCCAACTCGGCAGAGGAGACGGGTCAATGTGCTGATGGATTTCTTCTTCCCCTGCACAGCTGTGGTGCACTTTCCATGAGAAGCACTTGGTGAAGGCATCATGCCAGGATTCTGTCTCTGCGCTGAAGGTGGACTACTTGGACCTCTATCTCATGCACTTCCCCATGGGATTCAAGGTAACAGCGAAGCCCCTCATCATCCCTTTCTGCTCAGTGGACCTTGGATGTTACAGGAAGATTCTCAACCCTCCCAAGAGGCGGGGTGGGACCTTGGGAGGTGGCCAACAGACAGAAACATAACAATTGCCCTTTTCTCTCCGCCAGGCCGGAGAGGATTTAGTTCCCCGTGACGAGAAGGGTATGGTCATCCCCAGCAACACGGATTATCTGGGCACTTGGGAGGTAAGCTTGACTTGAGCTCATTTTGAAGGTGCTTCAATGAATTCCATCTTGTGGTTGAGCAGGAAAATCAGGGATGCAACAGAACTTGAAGCAGCCCACTAAGATCTTGGACAAAGGTCTTCTCATTCTCTATTCCCTGAAATCCTTTTTTCGATCAGAGATGATGAACATAGAGGCCATATTTTTTTTATAAGCACAAACAGAGGAAGATGCCTTACTTGTCCCATCAGCACTAAGGCAGCAATCACAATGCCTTCTAGATGTTGCTGGATTACAATTCCTATCATCCATGCCCTTTGGCCATGCTGACTTGATGGGGGTTGGAGTCCTAGCATTTGGAGTGCCCCAGGTTGGCTATCCCTGCTCTACACTGACTGGCAGCGACTATCCAGGGATCTACCTGCACATGGCAGGGATTGAACCTGGGATCTTTTGAAGGCAAAGCAAGTACTCTGCCAAAGAGCAACAGTCTCTCCCCAACCGAACAACAGGTCTCCTCACCTCCTGTGTGCTCTAATGGTGAGAAATACCAGTGCATTCATTGACTCATATTTCAGTCAAGCACAGGCATTCCCAGTTCCAGTCAGGTGTAGGGATTTTCAGCCAGAGTTGAGCATCATTGAGAAGTGCCTTACCTGGGAGGTTAGAAGGTTAACTGGGCTTGGTTTCAGCCCTATCCTCTGCAACCTTAACCCTTTTGGGTTAAACTTAGATGTATGTATGTATATATTTTTGAAAATTTTCACTGAGAAAATAAAGTGAAAAAAGCAGAAACACAACACAACGAAACATTGAAATTGTGATACAGTATAATATATGGGTGTATAAGTAGTACAGTTATTTCAGCAAATGTAAAATTATCATTAACACGTTACGCTTTTTATAAATGGATCCCAAATGTTGTTATATTTATTCAGACACAGTCTGCATCTAAAAGCAATCTGTCTGTATGTTGCAAGAGTTGTCATGTCTTCTATCCATTGATCAGAGGGGGCCATGGTATATTCTTTCCAATGGATCAGTACCTGTGTTTTGGCAGAAGGGGGCAGAGAGACCACGTACTTTGACCCTGTATAGTTGATATATAGTTTGAAATGATGCAATTATTATTATTTGTATAATTATTAAGTGCATAATTTCAAACTATATACCAACTATACGGGGTCAATGTACGTGGTCTCTTTGCGCCCTTCTGCCAAAACACAGATAATGATTATTCATAAAGGAAACAGCTTATAAGAAGTAAACAAGGAGGCCAGGATACAGGATAAAGGAAGTCTTTTATTTGGTTGGCTGTATTGTTGTATGTTATGCTCATTGTATGTTATTTTCATGTTTAATGAGGGTGGATTTCTGTTTTGGGGGGTGGGGGTTTATGTTATGTTGTAAATAAAATTCCAATACAAATTAAAATATTAAGAAACTGGGGTAAAAAGAAAGAAAGAAATGATGCAATTATCTGACAGGTTTAAATTTTCCCCATAGTAGTATTTCCAAAAATTTCTAAGTGTAGGACATTGCATAAACATGAGTTTCAAAGAAGCATTTTCCTTATCGCATCTCCAGCTGCATGTCATCATAGCTTAATCATGGCTTTTGAGATGCTGATGATATTCCACCCGTCTAAATGGTTCACTTGGCCAGAGATGCTGTGCTCTTGCCACCTGTGGTTATAGCTTAGGTGTGAAAGTTTGTTCCAACACATAGGACCAAGGTGATGCCCTGAATTTCATCTGCCTTCCCGCTCTCCCCTTAGGCAATGGAGGAACTGGTGGATTGTGGGCTGGTGAAAGCCATTGGGATCTCCAATTTCAACCACTATCAGATCGAGAAGCTCTTGCAGAAACCTGGCCTGAAGCACAAACCTGTCAACCACCAGGTGAGTAGGGCTAGCATCTCTGCCTGCTTCTGGAAATGTTGCTGCGTTGAAGCTCCTCAGTACTGGGCACGGTCTCGTCAGGAACTGCTCCTCCACAACCTTACCTTGCGAGCTCCCCCAACACAGCTGAGCTTCCCTGCTTTCATGGATGTGGACATCTCGAAGCTGGTCACTGGCTTGTGTTTGAAAATCCTTAGCTGTGCTGCCTTCCTCAACTAGGCCGCATCCACACCATGCATTTTAAAGCACTCTACCACTTTCTGCAGTCACGGCTTCCCCCAAAGCATTCTGGGAGCTGTGCTTCGTTGAGGGCACTGCATGTTGTTAGGAGACCTATTCCCCTCTCAAAGTTCCCTGTGAAGAGGGATTGACTGTTTATCACCTTCTTAGATAATGTGTGTGTGTGTGTGTGTGTGTGTGTGCGCGCGCGCACATTTGTGTTTGTAGAGTGGGAGGTGAGTTCGCCAATGTTTTGTCTCCCCTAAAATAGGACTATTGTTCAAAGGAGTGTGTCAGTTCTTGCTAGTTGTGTAATCCAGAGTTTTCTTGGGCTTGCAGATTGAGTGCCACCCATACCTTACCCAGGAGAAGCTGATTCACTACTGCCAATCCAAAGGGATCTCTGTGACTGCTTACCGACCTTTCGGCGCCCATACGTAAGACTGCTTTGAATTAAACTTTTGGCTGGATGATAACATTCATTGTCCAGATTGTTTGCTTTCTGTGTTTATGTTGTGTGATCAAGTGTATATGGCCATGGAGTCATTGATGGGTCTGTGGAGCTTATCTACTGTTGTATTTATTTATGTATTACCTGGTTTTCATATTACATGACACAGTATTCTTGCAAATACAGAATCCCTAAGCCTAGACTCTTCTTAAATGCCTCCTGCAAAGGAAAATCTCTCACCTTCCAAGGTCAGCAGCTACTGTTAGAATTCCTGCTCTGTGATTGCAGTCATGGGATTGTTGTCTTTCACATGACTGTATATGTTTTGACTCCACAGAGTGGGAAGTGACGGAGACAGAATGTTTGTGTTACTGTGTTCCGTGAAGTGGGACTACTGTCCTTTGTTCTTTTTCTCTTTGCTGTCTGATGCTTGAGAGAGAGGGAGCCATGTTGCAGTGCTCCGTGTGTGTTTATATGTAAATAAAGTAGATTAGCCAAAATGCTGAGTTGCTGAGGTCTGTCACGCAAGCTGTGAAGACTCTGCGGATCCCTAAGTGTGTCGATGTCTGGTGGCATCGGTCGCTGTGATGTTTGGGCTGAAGAAAGCTTTTGAAGCTCCCGAATGATCGACCAGGAGGGAGGGAACGTGCCAGTCGGGCATGTTTCTCTGCCAGGGTCCTACTCGAGTGTAGGACGAGCTCCTGACAGCTACTAGTTGCTCTACCTGTGTTGTCAGAAGCAGTATGCCTCTAAATACAAACTACTGAATGCAAAGCACTGTTTTGCTTGTGTCCTGCTTGCAGGCTTCTTGTAGGCATCTGATCAGATGGTGTGAGAACAGGATCCTGGACTGGATAGACCTTTTGACCTGATGCAGAAGGGAACTTCTTATGTCCTTAAAGGATGTTGCACAGCTCTTCTCACTTGGAAGTTTTTCTAACATTGAGGAAGGGTCATTGATTCTAGTCCTTGGCCTGGAGCAACAGAAAACCAGTCTGCTCCATCTTAGGTGACAACCCTCTAAATAAGTAGAAGACAGCGACTCGTTTGTAAACACCTGACTAAACTTCCTAACGGACAGAGACGTTCCGTGCAGGTGATGGGCTCACCTTTGTTGGGGGGTGTTTTAAGCAGAGGCTAACTTAAGCTACCTGTCAGGGGTGTTGTAGTTGCAAACTGCACAGCAGACCTTGAACCGAGCAAGGGGTTGGATGAGACTACTTCCAAGCTCCCTTCCAACACCCAAAATTCTATGAGAATAAAAATGAGAATTGTGTTACTTGGAAGTAGTTTTGCCTGCTGCAAGACAGCTGCTTCTGCAGTTCTATGTAGGAAATCTAGGTTTTCTGCTTAGTGTCATATGTGCCAAAGAAATAAGAGGATAACTCTTTAAAGTTTCAATCCAACACTTAGCTAGAAGCCCCATTGAATGCAATGGGTCTTCTGAATACACAGGCATGGAATCACACTGTTAATGGGCGTATTGGCTTTATTTTGTAGTCTCAAGCCTGGGGACCCTATCCTGTTGGAGGACCCAACGGTTAAAGAGATTGCTACAAGGCACAAGAAGAGCGTCGCACAGGTAAATATGCTGAAGACAAAGAGTGAATAATGAGGCTGTCAGCCTGAACTTGGATGGTGCCTCATTTTTGCATGTGGAAAAGCTGAGGGAAGTCTCAGTTAACGTGGGAGCTTCTCTGCTGAAAATGTAGTGGAACCTTGGTTTTCGAACGTAATCCGTTCCAGAAGACCGTTCAACTTCTGAAACGTTCAAAAACCGAAGCATGCATTTCTGGGTATTCAGTGTTCGAACGCCGAACGAAACACTCAAAAACTGAGGTGCCACTGTAGTATGGTGCATCTGTGTAGTAATTGTGGGATGAGGGGTGCAGATTCAGCTCAGAGAGCGTGGTGTAGCGGTTAAGAGCAGTGGACTCATAATCTGGGGAACCAGGTTCGATTCCCCGCTCCTCCACATGCAGCTGCTGGGTGACCTTGGGCTAATCACACTTCTCTGAAGTCTCTCAGCCCCACTCACCTCACAGAGTGTTTGTTGTGGGGGAGGAAGGGAAAGGAGAATGTTAGCCGCTTTGAGACTCCTTAAGGAGAGTGAAAGGTGGGATATCAAGTCCAAACTCTTCTTCTTCTTCATCCCAGGCATGTAGCCATTCCTGTATTTGCATTTGCAAATCAGCCCACCAGAAGGGGCTGATCGGGGCCTGCGCTGGTGGTGGCATAATTGAACCAAGAGGAGTATTGCATTAGGATCATTGCAGAATGCTGCTTTTCACAGCTGTTGATTCCCATCTAGGTTTGGAAGGACTGCTTATTTTCTCCTTCTGAGGAGGCTGTTTGCTGTTCATGCAAACAAACATGAGAATGAGATGCGTAGTTTTGACTCTGCCATGAATTAAGCCTTTCAGCCAATCCCCATGGCAAGATGATTAAAGGGGTGGGGGAGATAGGGAGACAGATTAAAATTATTATTATTATTAGCTGTTGCTGAGTTCATTGGAAATCTGAAATGCTCAAAACATTGGTCCACCCTTGTTGGAAACAAGTCTTGATTTGCCCCTGCAGATTCTGATCAGGTTTCACATCCAGAGGAACGTGGCTGTCATTCCCAAGTCAGACAAACCACACCGCCTGGAAGAGAATTTTAAGGTAAAGGAGAATCTCCCTGCCCCATTCTTAATGCAGCCATGTGGATTTACCACTCACCTGAATCAAATAGCAGTATGGGAAGGCTTGTAGTCCAGTGGTGTGGAGAGCATATGCTGTGCATTTAGAAGGACCTAGGTTCAAGTCTTGGTATCCTGGAGTTCTGTTGCTAGTCGCAGTGGATGATACAATGGTCTGATGTAGTATGAAAAGGATTCTGAGGAGCTGAATGGCTAATAGGTTTGTCCAGCCACCCTGCTGGCTGCTAGCTCCCAACACCAAACCCATAATCTTGAGAGTATAATCTGTGTTCCCATAATCAAAGAGCATGGAGTGCATGCCCCCCTCTGAACATCCCAGTCATTACTTTCTAGCTTGCATTTGCAATGCACTCTACGTGGGACTGCCTTTGGAGATGACTTCAACTCGTCCAAAATGCAGTGACCAGATTGCTGCTTGGGGTTCCAGTTAGACCCACTTTCAAACAGCTGCACTAATCCAATGTGCTCACCTTGGGATTTAGAGCTCAAAAGAATTCAGGCCCCCAAAATCTGAAAGACCACCTCCTTCCCCACCGACTCTCTTGGATGTTAAGATTGGCGGAAGGAACCTATTTGGGTAGTTCTACTGCCCACAGAGGTTCGGGAGGCCAGCTTGAGAGAAATGATTATTTGTGGCCGTCCCTGAGTTATAGAATGCTTTTCACACATAAGTGCATCTTAATATTGTATTCCTAAATTGCTGTCATCTACCCTGGGCCCTTGTGGTAAGGCAAGAAGTCTAATTAATTACATTGGTACCTCAGGTTACGTACGCTTCAGGTTACAGACTCTACTAACCCAGAAATAGTACCTCGGGTTAAGAACTTTGCTTCAGGATGAGAACAGAAATCGTGCTCTGGCGTGGCAGCATCAGGAGGCCCCATTAGCTAAAGTGGTGCTTCAGGTTAAGAACAGTTTCAGGTTAAGAACGGGCTTCCGGAACGAATTAAGTACTTAACCCAAGGTACCACTGTACTTAATTAACAATTTAGTGCATCTGAGGCAATGGTGTGTGCCAGAGTGGTACAGTGGTTAGAGTTGAACTTCTGACCAGGGAGACCTGGACTCAACTCCCGACTCAGCCATGAAACTCAACATCTGCCAAACATCCTCACAGAGGATGCCACCCTGGGTTCCTTGGCAGAAGGCTGTGGTAAAATGACAGTAACTGTGGCATTCTGGAAGTTTCCATGCACACAGGAGCAACTACTCTTACTCACATACCATGCCTTCATCAGTAGGAATGTTAATGTTCTCAGTTTCAAAACTGGGCACCCTTTCTCTCCCAACCACACACACACACACCGGGCTACCTTGACATTTCATTATTCAGCCCATGAGCCAGGGGAATGTAGCTCACTTTTTTCATTCTTTTTAAAATTATAGGTCTTTGACTTTGAATTGACTAAAGAAGAGATGGCGACTCTCCTCAGCTTGAACAAAAACTGGAGAGATTGTGTGATGGCTCAGTAAGCTTGACACTTCCATGCTCTTCTCTTTTTTAGTGGGAGGTTTAGGAGGGGTTATAAAGCATTTTTATTTCTGTAGTGCGCCCACAGCCGCCAGTAGTTTCTGTTCCAAATTCTTTCCAACTTTTCTTAAAAACACAAAGCGCCGCCTCAATCAAATATAATTAAAAAGTAACCCCTTTCCCTGCTGCCTTGACATCCTGCTAAGCGTATGCTGTGGCATTTTGCCTGAAAAATGCTTGACTTTAGGCAACGAGAGCTGTCACACAGAGAAGGGGGGCCTGGAGCTAATGGGCTGACATCACAGTGGGGTAGATTTTGGTTGAACTGTAGAATTAAGGGCAAGGGCTGTTGGGCAATGGTACTGACTATCAGAGGAACAGTGGGATTTCCTTTAATGGAGACATTCTTGTGGACTGCCGTAACTCTGCATTTTCTGCTTTGAGATGGGTTTGGACTAGGTAGCATACAAAGTTGTGTTAAACCACTCTTAGCATTGTATTTGAATTGCTGCAACCCACCCAGGAACCTTAGGGTGAAGGGCGAGTAGCAAACTGATGATAATAATCCTCTCCCACCCCATGGTTTTACCTTTCATGAATTCAAACTCATGAAGCTTTTTCCATGTCCTGTTCTTGCAGTTCTGTCAGTCACAAAGACTACCCCTTCAAAGCCGATTACTAAGAACCGAAGCTGCTCCGGATGCAGAATTATTGTCTTTGGGACTCCTGCGTCACGAAGCTCTAGTGCAGGTACCTATTCTTAGCCAACCACTTTGGGTCTTTCATCCGAAAGAAGAGGAGAAATATTCAGGCCAAGTGGAATGAACAACCAGAGGACTCCACAGAAGCAGCACAAGTGGATGATGTTGTAAAAGGCTACCTTCCTCATCTCTCTCTCCCTCTCGCCCCATCTACTGAAATTGGCCAAGTATTGAGTGTTGATCAAGGACCCTACCAGAGGGTTCTTGATGGCTGTGATGCTTTTGCAACATCACTTGCATTGGGTGAACCCACCTGCAAGTGGGCTTGAGAGAAAAGCTTGGTTTATTCTGGGGATGGGGAACCTGTGGCCTTCCAGATGTTGTTGGGACTCCCATGAGACCCACATAGCACGGCCAGCGCTCAGGGGCTATGGGAGTTGTAGCCCAAACAGTATCCAGAGAGCCATAGGCTCCGCCACCTGATTTATTTGAACCAGTTTGTGAACCACAGGGGAGAAGGAGTTTTCTTCTCCAGTTCAGATTAAAATCTGGGCCAGAGAAGAATTTTTGGGTCCTAATGCTTGCCTTACATTTAAGGGTAAGTATTATGCACCACCCAGTTGTGCATTCTGGGCCAGTGAAATCCAAACACCTTACCTGTTTTGTTACTGAGTGGTGTGTACCTTTTGGAAATAATAAAAATAATTCCCACACCAACACTTGGGTAACCTGATTCATGCCACCTGTTTAAGATCTTCTGCCCATTGCATTTTGTCTTTCTCATCCAGTGAACTGGGAGCAGCCTCTTGCCTCTGACCCTTTTCAACAGGTTTCACAGCAGACCCTGTGGCTACACAGAAGGGGGCTAAACACACAGCCTGATCCTATCAGTACCTTAAATTATTTGGCGGGGGAAGAGAACACCCAACCACCTGGTAGACATACTGCATTTATTGTGAATTGCAGGTTCAACATACTGGTTTTATTGCAGATACTTGAATGTAAAGAGTCCAAAAAGTGTATTAAAAACAACAAACCACCACCAAACAGTAACAGACGGATCCAAAAGCCATTCACTGCATGATTTCATTCTGAAAGCCCAAGTGAAATTCAATATGTAAACAAGAAGGTTTTAAAATAAAAATAGGGCAGATGGAGGCAACGAAAACAAAAAGCAGTAACAAGGCAATAACCGTTCCCAGGCTATAATTTGCATCTGAGAAGTGGGCCAGAAAACCTGAACAATGATAAACTGAGTTGCCTATTTTGACTCCACCCATCTAATTTATGGTGTAAAAGCAGAACCTCGTGCGATAATAAATTCAAACCTAACTTGGTCACCCTTGAGGCTGCTATATATACAAGTCAAATGATATGGCTGTAAGTAAGGAATTTTGGGAGGAAGCTTTGGGGGGGGGTGAGCCTCCCCCTTCATCAACACCCCAGCTCCCAAAATGCACCCGGTGCAGCTGCAGTTCTTTAGGAGAGAACGTCCGCACAGGGTTCAATGGAGCCCCCTTCATCCCCACAACCCAGCTGGCCTTTGACCCTGCAGTACAAATAACTGGCGTGTTCAGCCTGAGGTGTGCTTAGGCCCTTTTGTGGCACTACACCTCTGACCAAGGGCCAGGGGGAGGAAGGACAGAGGTGTTGTATGCATATAGCTGCATCTACAAGTGGCTGGCCTATGCCTATTTTAAAAGAGACCAAGATGCATAGAGACCTGATAAAGGGCAAATCTAGCGTGCGGTAAGTTAGAAATAGTGTGTCGCCAACAATGTGTACGTGTGTCTCGTGTGTGTTAATTACGGTAGTTTTATATAAATTAGCTACATTGTTTTATACAAGTGACATTATGCTTGACGCTTAATACCCTTTCCAACCCCCCCTCCCTCTTTAAAACTATACTTTTAATTACCCATTAAAAGGCATCTGATACTTTCTTTAAAAAACAATCTAATATTTCTCTTGCCACGTGCTTAATGGCAATTATGAAATCTTAATATAAAAAGTGTGTATTTTTTTTTTTTTTGTAAAAACAAAAAAGTTGTGATATTGGCTAGTTATGTACGTTTATAACTAAATATAGTACTCTAGCGGGTATTAAAAGCCTTCTACCATTAGTAGTGCCTTACAGCTAATTTTTGTAAAGCTTTATGCATATATTCTAAAGTTGCAAGTAACCAAAATGACAACAACAACAACAAAAAAGGAGAGAGAGAAAAGCTATCAGTACCGCTGTCAACCGCAATCATCCAAATTTAGGTTATTAACTTAAAACTAGACGGGAAAAGGAACGATACCTTAAAGTACAGAGCAGGTTTCAACTGGGTGCCGATTTGACATGGGCAAAGTACAGGATATATATATATATTGTCAGCAAAAGGTATTTCTTCCATGCCTCAATCTAAAGTGCAGAAAGAAAGAAAAATAACAGGGCTCAATCCAGCTGTGGAAGTGGGAAGAATTTGTGGGGGGTCCACAGTGGCCCGTTCCCTGTGGTCTCCCCAGTGGCATTCATTTTTGCAGAGTGGGGGAAACGCTTGCCTCCTCTCACCTCCTGCCGTGTGGTTGACCTCATGCCACATTTTTCCTGGCCCTGCTGCAAAACAATATTTTTAAAAATACTGTTAATGGACCAGGCACTGTTGCAACAGAGCATCGGTGTGATGTACCCATGCCATATGCGATTACATCCCAGGGAAGATGCGCAAATCGTGGGCTTCCAAGGGAGAATGCAACAGGGAATTAATGCCAAACCCATCTGTGTTCAGTAAGGAGCCAGCGGCAAATAGGTCGTTTACACCTCTGCCTTTAAAAGCCATCGAATGCTTTTAATTTCTTCGCCCCCTCAGTGTTCCAGACTGATCCAATCTTATTCCTAAGCATCATTCCGTTGAACTAGGACTGCATTTGGGAGGTGTACACACTAGAGGGCGCCCCTCTTTTACGGCACTAACACAGTCTTGCTCAGACACACAGTTGGTTAGAGCTACTCAGTAGAAGTGTCTCTCGTTTCACAGCGTGGATTTCTTTTTAAGAATAAAGCTCTTGTTCGAAGGCACTACTATTAGGATGAATGCTTTAAGGCTGATTATTAAATACAGTGCTAATATACATGGTGTCTTTTGTTTTTTTAAAAAATGGGATAACGCACCAAAAAACACAGCGGACCCCCCAATCCCCCCCCCTCCCCTCCCGAAGGCCTTCTGGTAAACAAACATAAATATATATAAAAGGAAAGGGACAAATTTAGCACTTCCGTTATTAAAAACCGAGTTGGTCCAGCATCATTGGAGAGTTTCTTAGGGTTCCTTTTCAAATTGTCTCAAACCTGCTGAAAGAAAGAGAAGTTAGGGGGTAGCATAGATTCACAATAAAATGCCATTCCTCTGACCTACAGTGGTACCTCAGGTTACATACGCTTCAGGTTACATAGGCTTCAGGTTACAAACTCCGCTAACCCAGAAATAGTGCTTCAGGTTAAGAACTTTGCTTCAGGATGAGAACAGAAATCGTGCTCTGGCGGCGCGGCGGCAGCAGGAGGCCCCATTAGCTAAAGTGGTGCTTCAGGTTAAGAACAGTTTCAGGTTAAGAACGGACCTCCAGAACAAATTAAGTACTTAACTCGAGGTACCACTGTATTTGCATAACCAAGAAATCCTAAATTGTGACAAAGACTGCTGATTATGCCATGGGTGAATCTGTCAAGCTTTGGTTTCTTGTAGTTTCTCAGTTTTTAAGTTCAGTTCTCCACCTTGGGGCTTTTTTTAAAGAAAAAAATACTCCCCATGAAAATTCAGCAGCACTTTAGTGCAAATGACTCTTAATACACGCTTTCTTTTGCAAAGCATATTTTCTCCAATATTTATATTTTTTCCTGATATAATGCATTTTTGTGCACATTATTACTTGGCTGGCAAACTGCCCTGCAAAATTCAGAGGAGAACAAATTCTGAAGTGTGGCTGTGTTTTGCTTGACATGGTTTTTATGTGAAAAAGTTTGGATTAGGTTGATTAGTGGCCTCTAAATACAACTTGAATCACATTTCTCCCTAGTGCTGATTCAGCGTTCTGATGCTGAATCGGCAAATTGCAAAGAGCCCAGGTACCCCAGGCAGTTATTAGCAATACCCCTTTGCTCACTCTAAGGTCTAGAATTGGTTTGCAATCACTTCTGCACTCCCATCTGCCGCTATATAACTCAAATAATATCCACTGTATTGTTTACCTGCTAACTGATTATCAAAAGGGTAAAGCATGAAGACTTAAGGAATGAGGAACTTTAAAATTTTAAGTGCCCATCATCCCTGACCACTGGCCCTGCTTACAGTGCGAGTTGGGAGTCTTAGCAAAATCTGGAGTGCCACAGGTTCCCCACCTCTTGTTTTAAGCCAATAATGCGAAAAAAGACTTGAAGGAGAAAGAAGAGGATCCATCACACCGAAACCATAGGTACCAACCCCGCACCCCCCTCATAGCAGCAACTTCCCCACTCAACCAAGCCCTCCTAAAAAAGGAAAGAGAAAAGCACCACCCCAGTTTAAAAAAAATAAAATTTGGTGGAGGACCTCAACTCCAAAGCACATAAAACTAGATAGCAAACATAATTTTGTTGTTGTTTAGTCGTGTCTGACTCCTCGTGACCCCATGGACCAGAGCACGCCAGGCACTCCTGTCTTCCACTGCCTCCCACAGTTTGGTCAAACTCATGCTGGTAGCTTTGAGAACACTGTCCAACTATCTCGTCCTCTGTCGTCCCCTTCTCCTTGTGCCCTCAATTTTCCCAACATCAGGGTCTTTTCCAGGGAGTCTTCTCTTCTCATGAAGTGTATTGGAGCCTCAGCTGCAGGATCTGTCCTTCCAGTGAGCACTCAGGGCTGATTTCCTTCAGAATGGATAGGTTTGATCTTCTTGCAGTCCATGGGACTCTTAAGAGTCTCCTCCAGCACCATAATTCAAAAGCATCAATTCTTCAGCAATCAGCCTTCTTGATAGTCCAGCTCTCACTTCCATACATCACTACTACATAATACTACTCTGTTAGTCTAGACTCTTGTAACCAAACATCTCCCTCCACTATCAGAGAAAGTCTATTGGGGCTATTTATCTAATACAGAATGTTGTTCCTCATCCAAACTAATCTTAAATTGCAAACCCTGCTCCACCAAAAGTGCTCCCTCGCTTATGCCACCATTCCTGGAATCCGCTTCTCAAACTAGAGCCACCCTGGAAGCATGCTCACACCATGAACACCCCCAAAATATTGTTGTTTTACTTACCATTGGTCTCTGACTTTTTGCCGGTCGCTGTCGCCTGAATTACAGAAGAAGAGCACAAAGTTGAAAGGTCAGGTCAGGTTTTTTCTGTTCACATATAATAATAGCATAGCGTTTATTTCCAGCAGATTGCTAGATACTGTTCAGAAGAAAGGAATAAAGAGATGAAAAATACTGAGCTTACAGAGGTGGCTCTTTGCGATCTCTTACCTTTGTGGGGGAAGTGACTTTTTCAACCGACTGCTTCTCCCAGAGGTTACGTTTGCCGGATACGTCTCCAGGTTTTAAGTCCTAGTTCAAAGAAGGAGACGGGGAAACAAAGCAAGAAGTTTGAAAAAGAGAAAGCAGTTAATGAAAGGTCACTACACGTGGAAAGACTGACATTTGTGCAATAGAACTTACCCTCCCTCCCATCATGTGCACCCCCCAGGCTGGGGGAACCCCAGGGCAGATTGGGGTGAGATGCTCAGGGGAAGGGAGAGAGGCTATGTGCCATGATGCAAGCAATGGCATAGTTCGATCCAAACAAAGTTGTATCTTATTTAGACCCCTTAAGGCCAATTTCATATACGTACATTGCCACGAGTCTTTCATCATTTATTGAAAAGGGCCCCACTGACATAAACAGGACTTGTATGAATGGAAGCCTGGTTATGACTGGGACTGCAGGACTACGGTTTTGTGGCTTAGCACGATGGTAGCTCAGAAAGAGATTTACCTGACTAGTTTAACAGAAAACAGCCAGTCCAAGAGAAGAATAGAACAGCAGGTATCTGGAATCCAGCCAAGGAGATGATGGTGAAAAGAGGAGAGAATAGAGAAATCAACTGAGAAAGAGAGAATGAATTGGAGAAAAGGACAGGTAAGTCTTGATCCACTTCTGTTGCTCTTGCACACGCCCACAAACTAATTGCAGTGCCAATTTATGTTGCATGAAATTTACTTCTCTGTGTACTTGCAAACATCCATCGAGGAGTTTTGACCAGAGGTGGAGAAGAGCATACAAATTGACCGAAAATGGGGAGCCCTTTCCAGCCCAAGGGCTGCTTTGCATCAAGGGCAACCTTCCTTGGGGGCTGGGGGCTGTGTATGCCAGTAGTGGGTGGGGCCATAGGCAAAAGTGGGTGGAGCAATAGGTGTGACCTTTGCTCAGTAAGCTATATTCCAGCCATGCAAAAAGTCAGAGGCTTCTACATCCTCGCAAGCAAGAGGCATTTTCACAATTCAAGGACACATTCCAGGAAGGCAGAAGAGCTCGAGGACAGCATAGAGAAGGACAGGGACTGGTAAAGGGCTGGACACAGATCTGAAGGGCCTCATTTGATGCCCTGGCCCTGCGGTTCCCTGAATTGCAGGGGGTTGGACTCTGATTCCCCATCTCTGTTGTAGGGAAACTGGCCACCAGGAACTAATGGTGGCTGCTACCATCGCCTCTTTCTCCCTGCTAGCATCTGGTAACTGAGGAGACACACATTCCAAACATAAAGGTCCCACTATTATGATTAATGGCCCTTCTCAATTGCAGGGTCCATGAATTAGCCTACTTGATCACCTACAGCCTTCATGCACGACAGCCTCTATCTTGCACTGGTTCCTTCCCTGCTCCGGCCATTCACAGTACAAGGCACGTCCCCATGCTCAGAAGCCATGGGTGATGGCAAAGAGGAGGAGGAGGAAAAGCTGACTCCATATAAGAAGATCAAGCACCTCTACCACCACCAAAATACGAAGCCAGGAAAGGTAAAGGTACCCCTGACTATTAGATCCAGTTGCAGATGACTCTGGGGTTGCGGAGCTCATCTTGCTTTACTGTCCAAGGGAGCCGGCGTACAGCTTCCGGGTCACGTGGCCAGCATGACTAAGCCGCTTCTGGCAAACCAGAGCAGCGCACGGAAACGCCATTTACCTTCCCGCTGGAGTGGTACCTATTTATCTACTTGCACTTCATGCTTTCGAACTGCTAGGTTGGCAGGAGCAGGGACCGAGCAACGGGAGCTCACCCCATCACGGGGATTCGAACTGCCAACCTTCTGATCGGCAAGCTCTAGGCTCTGTGGTTTAACCCACAGCACCACCCACGTCCCAGAAATAGTACCAGAGTTCGTTCTTGTTCCCATTGTGTGCAGAATTTGTCCTCTTCTGGACTCGCTTCTGCCGGAAGTTACCGACATTTCACCTTGCTGTGTTAAACTGAAGCTGTTTGATGGCCAAAGGACGAAGCTACTGTAAACAGAAGGACAAGCACTCACCGATGGTTTGGGAGCAGGCGATTTGTTGTTTTCCGGGGTCTTGGTCAACCATTCGTTGATGCGACTGGAGACGCCGACCTTTAGCCCAGCTGTTTCCTGCAGAACATTCATTTCCCAATGTGATTACAGGTTGCATGCGAGGATGAATTATAAAAGGAGCAGGGGGCAGGTAAGGATTTAGGAGTGAAACCAAAGTGAGGGGAGAGAGACACTGAGTTGGCCAGCAGGTAATGGCTTTCTCCACCTGCCTTGCCCTACCCTCCAGCCCTAGGAGCCTCCATAAGGGAGCAGTTTCCAGAGGAAGAACAGCGAGCTGAGAGAGAGACTGCTTGCCATCAGGGGCGTTTGGTTTTACTTCACAGGGGAGTTGCTGCCATGGGGATAAAGTGTATGCTTATTCTAATGAGCTGAACAGAGTGAAAGTTTATGAGGCATGGGAGTGTGGAGAGTTTGTATATGAACTGAACAGTGCTTAGTTGTTGTTGCTTTGCTGCTATTTTGTTAATATTTTGTTAAAACAACTACCAGAAGACATCTGAAGGCAGCCCTGTTTAGGGAAGCTTTTAATGTTTGACGGACTATTGTATTTTAAAATTTTGTTGGAAGCTGCCCAGAGTGGCTGGGGAAACCCAGCCAGATGGGTGGGGTATAAATAATAAATTATTATTATTATTATTATTATTATTATTATTATTATTATTATATTAATTATATTTTTCTATAGATTATGAATGCTGCACTGATTTGTTAATCACATAATACGACTTTTGCTTTTATTGTGATGCTTAGCTTATTTTTTAGCTGGTGCTATTTTGTTAATGTTGTTTTACGAACGCTGTGCTGATTTGCTAGTAACATGACGTTTGCTTTAATTGCAATGTTTAGCTTATTTCTTAGCTGCAGCCTTGTTAAGAGTCTTTTTATAGATTGCAATTGTTCTACTGATGATTTGTTAATTATTCTGCATGATTTATGCTGCGTTTGTGATGTTCTGTGATGTTACTTCTTGTTTGTAAGCCACTTTGGGACTCCTTCCAGTGAAGAGCAGCGTAGAAATATAATAAATTGTATCTCCAGCCTGTGTTTCGCAACTTCACGGAAGTGGTGGGCTTTGGGTGATGTGTCCTCAAAACGTAGAGCAGATGCTGTAGTCTAGGGGGCTGTGCAATGGAGAGCCCCCATTGCCTTTTAGATGCAGAGTGCAAGGTTAAGATCATAAGGAGAGTCCTGCTGAATTAGGCCAGTGGCCCATCTAGTCCAACATCCTCCGGAAAAACAATCTCTCAAAGGACCTGTTGGTAGCATTTTACCATTGTACTGTTGTGAGTGTATTAACTTATGGTCTGTGTGTGTGGTTTGGGAGCTGCACGGTCAGGGAAAAAACAATGCTGTCCAGGGTTGCAAAGACTGCGGAGAGAATAATTGGATTCACTCTTCCACCTTGGATCAAATCTATGCTTCCAGGTGCCATAAGAAAGCTGCAGAGATAGCACAGGATAGTGCGCACCCCAGAAATGATCTCTTTCAGCTTCTGCCTTCTGGAAGAAGGTACAGGGTTATAAAGACTAGGACTAGCCGCCTGAGAAACAGTTTCTACCCAAATGCGATTTTGGTTTTAAACGCAGTGTAAGGAGTCTCTATGGGAGTATATTGTATTTAAAAATGGGGTATCAGAGTTTTTAGGGGGCTAACCAGGTTGGGATAGCTGGGATAGCAGGCTTGTTGGGTTTTGAATGTTTTGTGTAGATTTTTCAGTTTTGTTGTTCTGTATGGGACAATGACAGTAAAGATTATTGTATCATATTGCATCCTGTTCTCACAGTGGTCAGCAGCCAGGTGCCCCGGGAATCCTGCAAGCAGGACCTGAATGCAACACCCCTCTTCTCACTTGTGATTCTCCATCCGTCAGCAATGCCTAATAGACATGGACCGGTGAAGGTTTTCACTACCCCAAGCCCTGCAAAAAGTGGAGCTAAGCATCTTTTCCTCCCTTACCTTGACCGCTATCTGGAATCAGAGCAGAGGCGCTTAAATGTGTGCGTGACTTCGAAGGGGGAACACTTACCTTATTGGGTGTTCCCGTGCCAGAAGGTGACGAGAACACGTTGCCTTTTTCCCACATGCTTTTGATGTTTCGGACTCCCTCGGCAGGAACTGGGAGGTCAGAGGCTGCTGGCTTGGCGGCCTTTGCAGCTTTGGTGCCCTGCAGGAAGAAGCCAGTCAGTCTCCAGGACAAATCAGATGTTCCTTCCATTGCATAGTGAGCAGCTATGATTTTTCCTGGTATGTCCCACGGAGGACCTTACGGTCTTCAAACAAAAACATCTCGGAGGCCCTGGGCCACAGGGAGGTTAGGCTGGCCTCAACCAGAGCCAGGGCTTTTTCAGCTGGGGCTCCGATATGGTGGAACGCTCTGTCACAAGAGACTAGGGCCTTACGGGACTTGACATCTTTCCGCAGGGCCTGCAAGACAGAGCTGTTCCACCAGGCCTTTGGCCAAGGCACAGTCTGACCCCCTCCTTTGGTAACCCTCACAGAACTCTAGCCCAATGGTTGCCATCAATTTGATTTGAAATGATTTTAGAATGCTGTGTTACTTTTATTGTTGTTAGCCGCTCTGAGCCCGGCTTCGGCTGGGGAGGGCGGAATATAAATAATTTTATTGTTGTTGTTGTTGTTGTTGTTGTTGTTGTTGTTGTTATTTAATTCCATTTGCAGAGGGATCTATGGTGCACCAGTGGGAGGGGTTTTCCCTAAGCACCACAGCCATGTTGGGGGCAGGGGAGCACTTTGCTGTGAATGCTGCTGGGGAGAGAAAAATGAAATCTACTCTTGAGTGGTCATCCAGGGATTTGAGGCAAAGTGGCATCAGTATGTGGACAACACTCACTTCTGTTTTTCTGTACCATTTATGTCAGGGAAAGCTGTGCAGTTGCTTGCTTAGTGTCTGGAGGTGGGGATGCAGAGGGAGGGAACGGCATCCAGCCATAGGGTCATGTGTGTGGGAGTGCCCAGCTGCCAATCATCAGACACCATGCGATTCTAATTCACATGCTGAGGCTACAAAGGGAGAACTGAGAATATGTTCTAAGTATGCTTCTGATCCTTCCTTTGCAGTCACCGCTTGAATTCAAAAATAATTAAGCTGCAGCTGCAAAGATTCTCCCTCTAAGGATGCTTTCGGTTCTTCCTTTCCAGCTTAAAGTTACAGTATTCAAGCACTTGGAGAATAACCAAGATTTCAACAAAAGGGACTGGGAGGGAGTGGCTAGGTTCAGACATAACATAAAACCGTGGATTGTGCTAACCATAGTTAAGAACCTGCACCGTGGTTTGCTCTTCCAAACAAACAATAGGCAAACCATGGTTGTGAGCTTGGCCCCAACTATGGCTTTCAATAATCTGTAGATTCAGATTCTACATCAAACTGTGGTTAGTACAAGTTGTTCTTTACAAACCAGCTTCAGGCTGAGATTTCTGTTTTGGGTTTATTAACACTAAACACATGGGTTTGTAGGCAGACTTTGGGTTCAGATGTTTAACCAATTTCACTAAGCAAACCATGGTTTTGTGTTACATCCAAGTTTACTCTTGCCTGGGCCTGGAGCCTCAAGTACATTTTCTGGGCCTTGCCAGCAGCCAACCAGAGGAACCCAATATATCCTGAAGCTGCAATAAGCTCACCTCAATTGCACTAGTGTACTGCTCCAACCTGCTGTCTATCTTGGAGACGACTGGAGTCGTGTGGGTAGGTTTCATTCCACTATGTAAAAGAAAATTAAATAAATGGAAAAAACGTTACTCCCTATTGCTGGGCACCGAATTTTTACAATGTTCTTGTTGCTACAGCAAGGGTCTTTTACCTCTTTTGGGCAGATTTGTTCAAGAACTCTGCACGTTCTTCTATCTAGAAAAGAAGAAAAAAGTCAAAATAAAATTCAAGGTTTGCTAAGGCAACAGAGCCAGGTGTAAGGAGAAAAAGCTGAGTGATCAGCAAAGATGCACTAAATAAAACAGTAGCACAACACACAACACCACCGCAACAAGATGAGGTGACCGTGGAGTGGAAGGAACTCATGGCTAGTTAGGTCCTCCTGTGGATTCTGCAATTCTGTAAGCATGAGAGTCTCTTAGAATCACATAATTGTAGAGCTGGAAAGGACAATTAAAATATGCAATAAAACAAACCCAGTAACTCCCTCCCACAAGCACATTTAAAAGGAGATATCTGGGATCTTCGTGCCGAATAATCCAGCATGCAAGGAGTAACTGCACGCCAGATAATTCACTTGCATGATAATGTCTGACTGCAGAATCGGAGCACCTGATCTGTTGCTCAGATTGGAGGTTTGGGGTTGCAGATGGCCACAAATGAAGTGTGCTTTTCACTGCCACAAGATGGCAACATAACACAGAGAGAAGGATATAAAGGTAAAGGGACCCCTGACCATTAGGTCCAGTCGTGGCCGACTCTGGGGTTGTGGCGCTCATCTTGCTTTATTGGCCGAGGGAGCCGACATACAGCTTCCAGGTCATGTGGCCAGCATGACTAAGCCGCTTCTGGCAAACCAGAGCAGCGCACGGAAACGCCGTTTACCTTCCCGCCGGAGCGGTACCTATTTATCTACTTGCACTTTGACATGCTTTCGAACTGCTAGGTTGGCAGGAGCTGGGACGGAGCAACGGGAGCTCACCCTGTCGCAGGGATTCGAACTGCCAACCTTCTGATCAGCAGGTCCTAGGCTCTGTGGTTTAACCCACAGCGCCACCCGCGTCCCTTGTCTGACTGCAGAATTGGAGCACCTGAACTGTTGCTCAGATTGGAAGTTTGGGGTTGCATATGGCCACAAACGCAGAGTGCTTTTCACTGCCACAAGGTGGCAACATAACACAGAGAGAAGGATACAGTTCCCCTACAAATCCCTCAATTCTCTCCCTCTTTCAACCTCTCTCAGGGTTGTTTAAAAATCATGTATTTCTAACACGGATAATAGTATTTCAACATAGTGGGGGAAACATACAAGCCACATGTCTAGCAACCACATATAGTTACTTGTTTTTAATCCACATGTATGCGCTAAAAAGCCATGGCTGAATTGCAGAGAAACATTTGCATATGCAATCAGAACGTAACAATAATTTGCACACTCTCAGTGCTTTTTGTATCTACTTCTATATCTCTATGGGAACTTCCTTGTGAGGAAATTGATCACATCTGAAATGGCCAGCCATTTTGCTCTTCTTGTCTGGCTGGTATTATTTGCCCTCCTCTGCGCCTATATATTCATGTTTTTTTTTTAATTGAGGATCACTAAGAGATACCTGCTTGGAGAATGATAAACATGGCAGTATGCTTTTCTGTCAGACCACCCAGTTTATAGGGATCCTTGAGGAATTCAATAATTCCAGCATGGACGGACCTGACTGCACATCCCAGATTAATTTGCAGATTGGAATTTAACAATTCATCCGATTCCTTTACTCTCTGGATGTCCCATATTTTGCCACAAACACGCATACACACCAAGGTTTTAAATGTGCAATTTGAGAGAAAACACTTTCTGAGAGAAAATGCATTTAAAATAATCAGCTAAATGCACGTTTTCGTGCATTTAAAAATAATAATCATAGCTTAAGGCGGAAACAAGACAGAACAGACTTGTGAGTGAATACATGCAAAAGTAAAATGGACTGGAAGCCAATGGATTAAATCTCTACTCCAGAGGTGGATAACCTGTGATCCATCTCCAGATGAAGCTGAAAGACAACTTCCACTGTTGCAAATCATTGGCTATGCTGGCTGAAGCTGCTGGGAGTTGTAGGTCAGCAGCACATGGAAGGTCACAGGTCAAGCACAGCATGGGAGCCCTTTTCCTCCCTGAGGGCCGCATTTCCTAGTGAGGAACTTTCTGGGGGCCACATGCAGGTGGAGGAAGCAGAGCCAAGTATGGACAGAGCAGCAGGTTTGAATCTCTATCTTTGTACAGTAGGTTATGTTTTAGCAATAGCTCAGTTGGTAGAGCATGAGACTCTTAATCTCAGGGTTGTGAGTTTGAGCCCCATGTTGAGCACACTAAAAATTTTAGTCAAGAGATTGTAAAGCTTCTGTCCACACGAACCTGCATGACTGCTAAGGTTTTCCTCCGGGGCTCTTGCTTTAAGAAGTATGATGGGTATCAGTAACTCATGAGAGGGCCTTTTTAGTTGCAGCACCCCAAGTTTTGGCTTCAAGGAAACACTGTTTTATCTGCCCAGGATTATTGTGATGCTGCGTTTTTTACATCACTTTTTAAATTGGTTTGCATCTCTACCTGCTGTTGGAGTTTTATGCTGTTTGCCTTTTGTGGTTTGTATTGTGTTTATTGTTGCTTGTAGTTTTTTAATGGTTGGCTGATAAATGGGATGAACAAACAAACAAATTAAAAATTGCTTTGTAATTTGCAGGCTTGCACACTGGGGTCACCAACCTGGTGCCCTCCAGATGTTGCTGGACTAGAACACCTGACCTCCCCCCCCAAAAAAAAAACATGGACCATGTTGGGTGGGGCTGATGGGAGTTGGGAGTCTGACAACCTCTGGAGGGAACTACATTGACTGCCCCTGGCCTATAAAAAATGGGAGAAAGAAAATGTATTTGAAGGAGTTGATCAAGCTGAGCACAAGATTATTCACAAGAAAACAGATGTCACTGCACAACACCAGCATGCTCACGACTTAGAAATGTTATGGGCACATACGGTAAACAGAATTACAAAATAGATCTGTAAAACAAGACAGAAAGCAGGAGAGATCTGTAAAAACAAGCAGCAATCTGTAAAACAAGACATCAAAAGCAGAAGGTGTTATGATCTCTCTAAATCCAAATTCCAAACCCAGCCTGTTTCTTTCTCTCTCAGTCTGAATTTTACATCCTGGTCAATTTAAAACTATAGGGTTTAATGCACTGTCCTTTTAATATCAGTGGCAAAACTCTTGTTGCTGTTAATGGTTCTGTGCAGCAGAGACAGATTTCTGTTTTGAGTGCAAGCAACACACACATGCCAGGATTCACAAGGCAGCACATAAGAATCTTCCTCTGGGAAGCATCAGCAATGAAAAAGAACAACAGTAACAGTAAAACCTACTCTGCAGCTTCCTTTTTTTTTTTTTTGAGGAAGCCCAAAGTCAACTCCAGATGTAGATTAAGCTGGGAATGAAGAGAACCGGTCAGGGAAGGGCGATATCTCCTTTCCAAATTTGTCGGAATCTACAAACAGTACTTATGAGAGCCCATCTAGATGAGCATTTTCCGTTTCAATTAAAACAGCTCTGCAGGGTCTTGCACACAGAATCCCACCGAACATCTGCTATCAGATCCTCTAAAGCAGTAGCAGATGACATGGAGCATCACGCCCCTGACCGCCTTCTGGCAGAGTGGATGCTGCGTACTGGGATGAAGGGTGAGGCAGGCATGCAGTAGGTGCAGTGCAAACGTGCCAGCAGAAGCACTGGTTTGGCTCTGCCAGCCCGTTTGCACAGCCCCAACCTTGCCCTCTCCCATCCTAGTATGCAGCAGCAACTCAGCTGGCGTAAGGTCGGGTGAGTGGCATAGCCCAACCCTGCTGTCCACTGCTGCTTCTAAGCTTCAGAAACTGGAGATAGCAGGGACTGAGACCTTCTGCATGAAAAGCACGTGCTTTGCCACTGAGCTATGATCTCTTATGATTGTCTGATGAGGCCTTGTAGGTGGCGTTACCACGAGCGGCTGCCCAGTTGGCACTGACCTGTAACTGACCTGAGAGCCAATGTGGTGTAGAGGTTAAGAGCGGTAGACTCGTAATCTGGGGAACCGGGTTTGCGTCTCCGCTCCTCCACATGCAGCTGCTGGGTGACCTTGGGCTAGTCACACTTCTTTGAAGTCTCTCAGCCCCACTCACCTCACAGAGTGTTTGTTGTGGGGGAGGAAGGGAAAGGAGAACGTTGGCCGCTTTGAGACTCCTTCGGGTAGTGATAAAGCGGGATATCAAATCCAAACTCTTCAACAGGGTAGCAAATTCGGCAAGCAAAGCTTTTCTTCTTCTCATTGCTACATCCATGAAATATATTCGGAGTCGCGTAGTGATTTCATGCTCTTTATTGCAGCTCGTAAAACAGTGAATGAATCCCCCTCCCAAAAAAACCTCTGGCTTTATATTTTATATTTACACAATGGGTCCTGTCTGATTGGCTGATTCTGCTTCCCTCCTAGAGCCTGATTGGTCTTCTCCTGCAAGCCAATCAGTTGTTGCATTCTAGGATCCTAGCTGCCTATTGTTCTAGGATCCAAGCTTAGTACATAACGCCCCACATGCTGCTGCTGTTGATGGTGGTGGTGGTGGGAGAATACGTTGTATCTTTTTGGTCACAAAGCACAGAGCACCAAAACACACACACACAAAAAGTTGGTAACCTTATTCCCGGAGGGTCGAGCTCAAGACAGAACCGTGAGCAGTAAAGACTTTGCACAGTTATAAAGCAAAAGCGTTTATTTGAATGTGGCCTGGACACTCCCTCCAAAAACTAAATAAGGGAGGCGGGATGCAGCCAAACTATATCTTTAAACAGAGGTGCTGTCTTGCGCCCAAGAGGGGGTTTGGAGAGCGCATGGCGTCGCATCGTTGGGAGTGGCTGAGTGGGGAGCCCAGTGCGACGTGGCTTTCTCTGTTGTGCTCAGGAGGAGCCACCCATTGAACTGTTCTGCACTCGGCCTCCTCGGCCCCCTCAACATCAAGGGGGCTTGGCACCCTGCCAGCAGATCTTGAGGGGGCCGAAGACCCCTCTGCCTTCAGGAGTCAGTGCACCTGTCTTCAAGGCACATTCAGCAAACATTTAAAGCATCTTGCTTCCTTCAAAGAATTGCGGGAACTGTAGCTTGTTAAAGGTGCTGGCAATCATATAGGCCTGTGAAGAGAAAACTTCCTTCTGCCCAGGATGTGGCAGAAGGAAGCTATGTGCTTTAAATGTGTTGAAAGTGCTTTAAGCATGATCTGACCGTCATGCTGGAGTGAGCCAATAGGCAAGGCCTGTACTGTTGCTTTGAATTTTTGTATAGCAATCAGAATTTTTAGATGCTATCAGCAGAACCAAGGAAGAGGAAAAGGCATTATTTCCACACCTACTTCGCAAGTGAAATAGGGGATACATTTCATCAAACCTGGACTACGGACACTAGGAGCCAGCTGAAATTCCTCCTTGACCTGCAATTAACCCTCCACATGGATCCAAGGAAGCCTTACCTTGAGAGAGGAACCTTTCGGGGTGAAACATTTGAATGGCTTCTTGTCTTCGCTCTGGGCTTCCTCGGGCATCTTCTGGCGTTTCTCGGCAGCTTCCGCCCTTCTCCTCTCAATTTCTTCCTTCAGCCGCCTCTTCTCTTCCTACCAAACTCACAATATGTAGTGAATGAGTAGCTTGTAGCTCATTTTCATGTTTACATCTCTCTCTCACACACACACGAATTCAGGACAGCAGTTAACACAGCTGCTTCAGCAAAGCCACCGCTAGAGTGTGGCGCAATACAATGGAGTAACAGCATAAATCTATATATCAATGGAAAGAAAATTTAATGAAGAATGTAATGCAACAAAGTTTGTTCAGTTATCAGTATTCTATCAAAAGTTATATCCAAATAACCAGAAAAAAGAAAGCACAACTTGCTTAGGTTGATATGTGGCAGCTTTCCTTCATTTGAATGTAGCCAATGAGCATGAGTGTTTAGAGAGCCAATCAGGTGTCATCTTGTTTTGGCAATGATCCAATCAGGTCACAGTAGGATTCAGCTACTGATGTTATTATGTACCAGAGCTGAGAGGAGGACATTTGTCAGTGTGTTGTGTGATTGCTATCAAGTTGGTTGGGGTTTTTTGTTTTGTTTTGTTTATTTTGTTTTTTGGTTCTTTCATTTAGTGAGCTTGTATAACGTAATAAAATTAAAGAAATGGCGCAAAGAGTTGGCTGGTCACCCAAAAAGTGATGTAAACTAGTACTGTTAAGTGAACAAGGCTACAGTTATGAAGAAATTAGAAGAAAAATTGGTGGGAACTTAACCAAAGGTGGCATTTCTATACTAGTGTATACAGGCATCCATGAAGACAGGAGTCAGGCTACAGTGGAAACTGCACTTCCTTTAATATTGTTGCAATCACACATACACAATAAAAATTAAGACCTAAGGACAAACCCCGATAGATCACACCAGAGGATTATCTAAGTCTGGCAAGCATCTCTCAAGGACTGAGGCTGTGGGCCCAGCCTGAAGTGGCTGTTCAGAGCACTGATTGGTTAGGAGAATGTGACATCACAAAGCACTTTCTCTGTTCTTGCAGGGGGTTCATCTAGATGACCCTTGGGGTCCCTTCCAACTCTACGATTCCATGATTCTCCACAGAGCAGTTTTTCAATTTAAAAGCAAACAATTGGGATCTATCCGTTCCTACCCCTGCGGTAAATTTCTGTATCTTCCCCACACCCAGCTAGAACTGTAGCAAGGGAACAGAATTCCTGACCGTCCTGTGGCACAACAGTAAAAAGGGCAGGATAATCCATAGATTGCAAGTATAACTTAGGAAGAGAAGAACTCATTTCATTGTTTTATTATTTTGTAAGCTGCTTTGAGGAAGTTGTTGCTGTTGCTTACAACCGAGCGGTGTGCAAATTTGGTGAAATAAGTAATGAAACGAACCAACAATATTGCAAGCTTTGAAAGAGCACCTCGTACAATACAATTATCTCTTGAGAGGAGTATTTCCCTTAAAGTGTATTTCAATATTAGTCACTGGTTGCCTCATTTTTTGGAATGTGCTGCTGTCTTTCCTTAAAGCCATAGGGTTTTAGGAGCTAGACGCTCAGTTTTAAAAGGCAATTACCCTCCGTTTAAAGAGCTTATTCCAAACCAGATTTTTCCATTAAAGTAAGTCTGAGTCACAACACCACCAGAAGGATCTTTGCCAAAGGAACAGAGCAACCTAATTCAGAGATGTACAACCAGAAGCTAGGCACAATTCTTAGGTCCAATTGAGATATTTACCCAAACTAATGATCCTGTTCTTATGGG